CTTTCAATAATCGGTCGTGATGTTATTTAAGGATTGACGAGTATTTCTTTGAAACTAACTGAACATGTAGTAAACATGCGTATTTTCAAATAACATTTTCGCTTCATATGAGAACGATTTTCACGCATATTAAAAAGGACTAGAGAATATTTTCTATCGTTTAAAAGCGCTAACAAAAAAATATTGTCTTCTGTACAATGCATGTAAAAATTTTCACTTTTCCCTCAAAAAAACAGGAGCGTGCCGAGGCCGAATTAGAGCGCCTCAGGCAACAGATATCAGAGAAAGAGCGCGAATTAGAAGAATTGAAACCTAAATACGAAGAGATGAAGGCGCGCGAAGAGGAATGTACGCGCGCTCTCGCACTGAACCAGCAGAAACGGCAGGAATTGTATGCTAAGCAGGGCAGAGGCACACAGTTCACGTCAAAACAGGACCGGGACCGCTGGATCGAGAAGGAACTCAAGTATGTATCATAGAGATATAAAGAGATGCCAACTAATGCGCTGAGTTCGAAACTCAGTGTTGAATTAGAAATTCACACACACAAAGTAATTAAAATATGTGCTCATTATCCACTGCGGTATCCAGTACTCAATGTTCGAATAATCTTTAGTACTACGCAAGTAATGTGAACTGTTTATATTATGACGTCGCTACTGTCATCATTGCTGTCGCGAGAAATGTGTTCTCTCTTTAGTTTCTGTGATCTGTGGTCGATATGTACTCGACAGTGTGAAGCGTGAAGATAAAGCGCTGGGGCCGTATATTTTTCAATTGGCGCCACTGGGGATTGATCTTATGTGACAGTGGCGCCAATCTGGTGATTGCAAATGCGATAATCTTCCTACCGCTTCAGCGCTAACCAATTGGCGCCACTGTTTTAACCACGAATAAGTGGCGCCAATTGGTGAGCGCAATTAAGGAAACCCATATAGAAGCCCAAATATGCATTATTAATAATAATATAATAATAAAACTATTGCACACCACATTACATTAATAAGAACAAAAAAACACACGAAAAGGTACAATAGGCGGTCTTATCGCTGTGCAGCGATCTCTTCCAGACAACCTATGGAGAGGACTACATAAAACAGGAAGGGGAAGGCGAAGAATTCTATTGTTTTACTGTTAACTTTTGTAAGAAATAAAGAGTTCTTTTATCAATATATGTACAATCATTTCAGGTCCCTAAACAAGCAAATCAAAGACAAGAAAGACCACGAGGGCAAACTTCGAGAGGACCTACGCCGCGATGGCACAAAACTGACGGAGCTGGAGAAACGGATTGAGGAGATGACGAAAGAAATGGAAAGACAGCGCGTGGCCATCGACGAGCACAACAAACAGTACTACGAGTGCAAGAAGAGGAAAGACCAGGAGCAGAGTGCGAGGAAGTGAGTTATAAACTAGTAATTATTTATTAAGTAATTTATTAGATGGGCGTAAAATAGTTTAAAACCACTACTTGGTCTGCGTCTTGTGCTAGATAAATGCAAAGCCAAACTATGGCGCCAAACCACAGAATAATAATAAGTACTACGTACAGAAGTTTTACTTCGCAAAGTTATTTAATGAAATGTATGCTCAATGTCCTTAACAATATGGTGTAATTTAGCCTGTCTCAAAAGTTAAGCACCATTTTGTTGACAAACGTCAGTGATCGGCACTGCGCCGAAGCTATNTTCAGCGCCCTCATGATATTAATTTGTTCTCATCACAAATTCGTTTGAATCCATGCAGTGTGGAATTTCATACCTCTAACTTGCGTATTATGTAAATACACTCGCAAAACATTTGTAGATGAATGTTTTTACTTCTTCTCACTTGTTTAATCTCACTTTATGCGAGTTGTAAAACGTAAGTTTGCGTTTTGTAACAAGAACATAATGGATCATAATATTTACTATGGAATATTTCCAATGTTACAGAATCTTAGTGAGTCACATTCGTTTCAACAATTACATACTTCATATACGCATAACTTTCAATAATCGGTCGTGATGTTATTTAAGGAATGAATACGAAATTCATGTATATTAAAAAGGACTAGAGAATATTTTCTATCGTTTAAAAGCGCTAAAAAAAATTATTGTCTTCTGTACAATGCATGTAAAAATTTTCACTTTTCCCTCAAAAAATAGGAGCGTGCCGAGGCCGAATTAGAGCGCCTCAGGCAACAGATATCAGAGAAAGAGCGCGAATTAGAAGAACTGAAACCTAAATACGAAGAAATGAAGGCGCGCGAAGAGGAATGTACGCGCGCTCTCGCACTAAACCAGCAGAAACGGCAGGAATTGTATGCTAAGCAGGGCAGAGGCACACAGTTCACGTCAAAACAGGACCGGGACCGCTGGATCGAGAAGGAACTCAAGTATGTATTGTTGCTATCATAGATATATACAGGGTGGAAACGATAAGTGATCTCACTCGATTATTTCTAAACTATACAAGATATTGAAAAACTGGTTACTGATCCTGAAAGTGCTTCACAAGCTCTTTCAAACGGTACCAATAATAGGTTACAGAATAAACTGGAACTATCCCAAAATTCAATGTTTCCAGCTTCCATACTAAATGTATGGCGATGACACAATATTAGAAGTGTAATTTATTTTTTGTTAAATAATAAACTTAAAAAGTCCGTTAAATAAACTTGTAACTTGCATCGTATTTAAAATTATTTGTGAAATACATTACTTTTAGGTTTTACTTGCTATAAAATTATCAAGAGATGAGTGCAATGACTGTGATAGTACAAAATGTATGGAAGACGGAAACATTGAATTTTAGGATAGATCCAGTTTATTCTGTAACTTGATATTGATACCGTTGGATAGAGCTCGTGTAGCACTTTTAGGAACAGTAACCAGTTTTACGATATCTTGTGTAGTTTTTAAAATTATGTAACTTTATCAAATGTATTGAAGCTGGAAACATTGAATTTTCGGATAGTTACAGATTAGTCTGAAACCTATTATTAGCATCGTTTGAAAGAGCTCGTGAAGCACTTTCAGGATCAGTAACCAGTTTTTCGATATCTTGTATAGTATAGAAATAATCGGGTGAGATCACTTATCGTTTCCACCCTGTAGAGAGATGCCAACTAATGCGCTGAGTTCGAAACTCAGTGTCGCATTAGAAATTCACACACACAAAGTAATCAAAATATGTGTTCATTATCCACTGCGATATCCAGTACTCAACGTTCGAATAATCTTTAGTACTACGCAAGTAATGTAAACTGTTTATATTATGACGTCGCTACTGTCATCATTTCTGTCGCGAGCAATGTGTTCTGTTTTTGGGCATATTGCTGCGACACCGGCTCCGCCCCCTTGTCACATCTCCCTTTAGTTTCTGTGATCTGTGGTCGATATGTACTCGACAGAAGATAAAGCGCTAGGGGCGTATAGTCCCAAGCGAAGGGTTTTCATAATTACGTTTTCCAATTGGCGCCACTGGGAAGTGATCTTACGTGACAGTGGCGCCAATCTGGTGATTACAAATACGATATTAGAAATACGATAATCTTCCTACCGCTTTAGCGCTAACCAGTTGGCGCCACTGTTTCAGCCACAAGCAATTGGCGCCAACTAGTGAACACAATTAACCTTTTCAGCGCCAAGTCAAATACAGAAGCCATCACTCTGACGCAACGCTTGATAAATTATAATCATTGTATTCATTATTATTCAGTTTACATAATACTCAATTACCCTATTACCGAATTTTTAAGGCGGATTAATCCGTGGTTGGCGGTCAACCTGATGTACGGACGTATCCGTCATTGACGTTGAAAAGGTTAAGGAAATCCTTTGAAGCCTACACATTTATTATTTTATGTTGGTACTCTTACCGTTTTGTTTAAAGAATACATCAATTTATCTATCTACAATGATTTTAGGTCCCTAAACAAGCAAATCAAAGACAAGAAAGACCACGAGGGCAAACTTCGAGAGGACCTACGCCGCGATGGCACAAAACTGACGGAGCTGGAGAAACGGATTGAGGAGATGACGAAAGAGATGGAGAGACAACGCGTGGCCATCGACGAGCACAACAAACAGTACTACGAGTGCAAGAAGAGGAAAGATCAGGAGCAGAGCGCGAGGAAGTGAGTTATAAACTAGTATTTAATCATTAAGTAATTTATTTAAACAGTGGGAAATGGAAAGTTGTTTCACAACTTGGTCTACGTATTGCCAAACACAGTCCATAATAAATTCGTTGCATATTATGCTACCTCGCAGAAGGCGCCAACTCGTGAATAAAATACACCCCTAAACGCCTCATAGTTGGCGCCACTGTAATAGCTACTAGTGAGTGATAGGTTGTTACTTGACACTGACATCGCGTCAACTAACAAATCCTTAACTTGCTCTCCTCTCGCCTTAGCGCTCATCAGTTGGCACGCAAGTAATAGGGCCTTAATTGATAAAGGCGCCAACTGGTGAACGAAGATGACGATCTCACATATACAATTTTGATTTTTAGCGAACTTTGGCGCAAGGAAACTACGCTGACGCAAAATCTGTCGTCATTGAAAGAAGATTTGGCCAAAGCGGATCAAGCTCTTCGCTCTATGGCCGGAAAGGTAAACTGGATCCCATCAAAAACAATACTTGTCAAAAAAACCAAGTCTCGCAACTCAGTTGTTCTACGGTAAAAAGTTGTGAGATCCATGTAATACCAAGTCCAGGCCAGGAAATCTTTAACGTTTTACATAAATATATTGACTTGGCCATCGCACAACAAATATCCAGACATCCATACAAACTTTCGCATTTATAATATTAATAAGATCACAGAATAATAATAAGTACTACGTACAGAAGTTTTACTTCGCGAAGGTATTTAAAAAAATGTATGCTCAATGTTATTAACAATATGGTGTAATTTAGCCTGTCTCAAGAGTCAAGCACCATTTTGTTGACAAACGTCAGTGATCGGCACTGCGCCGAAGCTATAGGGCTGACTTCGGTAAAATGATGTGACGACGTGAGGTGCCAAACTGCGGAAAATGGCGGAGGAAATACATGATTTAGCATGAATTATCGTGAATAATATTAACTACTTATTTACCTCTCAGTGTCTTGAGGAAACTTAAAAAAGTACATTCTGTGTCTTTATTATTATTTAGGCAGTTAAATACTGCACAGTATTTAGTACACCATTTTCTTTATTTTTTTCCATCATACACAAGAATACGCGTGCGTGAGTCAATGTTCGCTCGTATGTGAGGCCTTGTGGAATAGTAATCCTGTAGGTGGGCCATCGTGCGTGTTTTGTTTTCGATGTAAACTCGCGGAGATGAACAGGCCTGGTAAGATGTATATTTTTCAAAAGTATATAAATGGTTTAACATAATTAAACAATGACAAGGCCTTAAGACGATCTGTGTATTGGAATTTGACTTGAAATAAAAAAATACAAGCATTTAACTTTCCATGGAATGTGCAGAGCATTTGTTACGTGCGCTATTCTATTATGAGAGTTGATACAAAGCCTGTTGATTACGCATGGCGTCATGCGGTTTCAAATCATACGTATTTGCAGACATCTCAAGACTCAAGAAAACATTGGTTAATTTGATAATGCTAATGCAAAACAATGTAAGAAAAGATGAATCATGCTTACTCTTGCATATCACAATACTAAAAATAAATTGTTTAACTAAGATTTTGGCGGTATTTGAACTTTAACTTTCTACTGCATATTTATTCTGCGATAGGTACGAGTGATTAACTCTCCTTTATTTATTTGCATATCACAATCGGTAGGCTAATATTAGTATTTATTTTGTTTTATTTTAAACTTAAGTTTCAGTTTGTCATTTTATTAGTCTCATATAACCTTCACCAATTATTTACGAAAAAATAGTTACATTTTTAAAACAGGGAGCAAATATTTGGGAGATTATATTGTTTTTAGGAATTTTATTATTGTGTAAACAAAACAGTAGTAAGCTGGTGCTGTAAATGCTAAGTTCTTTAAATATTATCAAAAGGATAACAATTTAAGGATATTATTTCTGAAAAAAAAAGATAGTCCTTATTTTTCAACATCAAAATTAGGCACTTCTGATGATGTAATAATAGATGATATACAATATTCTATAATACCTTTCGCAATTATGTTATTAGGGTTCTGTAGGGTACGTACACACGGTCACAGTGTTATCTATCCATTTCCGTTTTTGGTCTCGCTTTCATCAAAATTAAATGGTGATTGTTTGCGATAGAACAAGATGACATGACCGGCAATGGGCAGTTAACACTGTAATTGCCGATAGTACATCGCATGGTTATCATGGCATCGCATCGCACGCTAGGATAATGGTGTTGACTGTCCAATTACTTAGGCTGACTTGCACCATCTAACTTTGACCGTAACTATACGATAACCGGTGTTTTTTGTATGGAGTTTGACAGATTTTTGACGTTTATCAAAGTTAAAGTAAAATGGTGCAACCCAGCCTCCGTCTTTATATTTATTGAACTATCTTAAAAGAAATGTATTGTTCAGTTGTTAGTTTTCCTAAATATTTTTTTTTAAATCTGATAATTTTCTGTCAGTGGTTTCGTTGAGTAAATTATAATAACAAGGATTAATATCATGTATAACTAATAAAATCTCGTTGAACAGAACGCAATAGCCATGGTGCAGAAGCTTAAGTACGACGCGAAATACGCCAAAGCCATGAAGTATATCTTCGGCAAGACTCTCATCTGCAGGAACCTCGAGTGCGCCACCGAGCTCGGGAAACAATTCCATCTGGACTGCGTCACTTTGGAGGGAGACCAGGTGAGAATCATCAGCATCATCATAAGGTCATTCATGCCCGTTTTCACCATCAATCCCTAATTTTTGAGTGACTCCTATGGTAACACATAACAGGAATTTTGTTTTCATAGGGGTCACTTAAAAAATAAGGATTGATGGTGAAAACGGACATTAATCTCCACTGACAGGAGTACGACCCTGTCTTATTTCATCATCATCATGGTCATTTCAGCCATAGGACGTCCACTGCTTAACATAGGCATCGACTAATGATTTCCCTATTGTCAACTGTCTCATTGATTTGGCTAACGTGGTGGGGAAAATATGAGATGTTAATACTATTGTGTAAAGATTTCCTTTTGAAATAGTTCTATCATTCTCAGTTATCAATTACGATTCCTCCAGGCATCAGAAGTTGTTACTAAAAATAACTTTTAACACTATTTTTGCACTTACAATACTCTAACACAAAACCATAATCTACTTAAATGTGGATGTTATTTATTTATTTTCACCAACTTAAACTATCTTTACAGGTCAATAACCTAATGTTAAAAAATTTATGAGACCTATGTTATGGACCCTATTGGGCTAGGAAAAAGGGGGCGTATTTTAACCAAGATAGAATAGAATCTTCATTATTTTTTCTTCCCCAGGTATCCTCAAAAGGTTCCCTCACCGGCGGTTACTTCAACCAGTCCCGCTCTCGTCTAGAGATGCAAAAGACTCGCTCCGAACTCATGGAGCAAATCAGCACCCTTGAATTAGAACTGTCCAGCTTGAGGCAAGACCTGAGCAAGACCGAAACCAGTATCAACACCATCGTGTCTGAAATGCAAAGGACGGAGACTAAGCAGAGCAAAGCCAAGTGAGAGTTTACTTTTACCTCATTGGGCTTTTTTTGCAGGAGCCTCATTATTATAAAAACTCATAAAACACATTTATTTTTGCAAATAGGCTTTTAAAAAGCACTTTTACACGTCCCAGTATTAACCCTACCACTGCTTCGGAACAATAAATGGGCCAGTGCTGAGAAGAAGCAGCGCAAAAAACTCAGTCACTATTGTCAGCCTTCTTTTCAAGGGTTTACAGTCTTTAAAATATACAAATTATAGTCATAAGTATTGATGCGAGCTAGGTAGTTAAACATTCATTATTATATTTATATCATTCATCCACGTCCACTGCTGAACAAAAACCTCTGCTAAAAAGCCACATAGACGCATGCCCCTCTAATTCGATAGAGGCAAATGGAGGACGTTTTCTTGAATCTTGACCTTGTTAAATTTGTTCCCCATCGACCGCTAACTTATTGCGATAAAAATAACCTTTAAAAATATATTGATTTGAAAACATTTACCATGCAAAATCAAGTCCCGACTAGCTGGTATTCTAAATAGTACCACCTAACAAATTTCTTTTCTGCTCAACTCAAAGGTAAACTGGTCGAGAATGCTTTAGTGCATTAAGTTCGCCTTATGTACAATTTTATTTTGGCATTAAAGTTTTAAATAAATAAATACATTTTCAAACTAATTCAGTTATTGGTTTCATTTGCCTATGTTAGAGATGACGATTGACGTGATGTGGTTTTTGTGACTCATGTTACATATTTTTGTAATTTAATTTATACCATCTTCCACAGGGACATATTCGACAAAGTAAAGGCGGATATTCGTCTGATGAAAGAAGAGTTGGGCTCCATTGAACGCTTCCGTGGGCCTAAAGAGCGCTCACTGGCGCAGTGCCGCTCCAGTCTTGAAGCCATGCAGGCCACCAAGGAAGGACTCGAGTCTGAGTTGCACCAGGTACGTGAGAGACAGAGACACAATGAATCAGGCTCAGAGACATTTATTTATTTACATACACACACATTGACTATTGTTACAGGCTAACCCAATATAATAGTAGTGCCAATCTTTTACCATAATTCAAATAATAATAATTAGATGTGAAATAGACNATATGTAGGCTCAGAGACAAAATGTAGGCTCGAGTCTGAGTTGCACCAATTACGTGAGAGACAGAGACAAAACGAATCAGGCTCAGAGACATGTGAAAAGACAGGATATGTAGGCTCAGAGATACAGTAAAGTAGGCTCAGAGACAAAATGTAGGCTTGAGTCTGAGTTGCACCAGGTACGTGGGGAGACAGAGACACAATGATGTAGGCTCAGAGACATGTGAAATAGATATGGAGACAGGATATGTAGGCTCAGAGATACAGTAAAGTAGGCTCAGATACAAAATGTAGGCTCGAGTCTGAGTTGCACCAGGTACAGTCGCGGAATGAAAAGGTTCGTCACCTTAGTGTCGGTTTTCGCTTGCACTAGGTACTGTAAGAGTCAAACCTGCCAACATAAAAGTGCAAGAAACAGTGCTGCTAACATTTAAATAAATATGACGTTTGCTAACGAATAAGGTTTTGCTTGTTTATTTTTCTATCCCATCATCAGTGCAATGCAATGATGACATTGACCAATTGACAATAGTTTTTTTTTTATTTAATAGAAATAATAATGACAGGTTGAACCAACAAGAAGATTTTAGTTTATTAATCATAATAATCTTCTTGACAAGATAAATCGTCAAACAACTTTGATCTGAATAATTTTGAACTTTACTGACGAACAGTTAAAGATTATTTTCTCTAACTCGAGATTATTCTGTAACATAGTTTCAAAAGGTAATATGTACTCGCGATTCGTTGAAGGAATCAATTTGAAAACTGACGAACCTTTTCATTCCGTGACTGTACGTGAGAGACAGAGACACTATGAATCAGGCTCAGAGACATGTGAAATAGACATGGAGACAGGATATGTAGGCTCAGAGATACAGTAAAGTAGGCTCAGAGACAAAATGTAGGCTCGAGTCTGAGTTGCACCAGGTACGTGAGAGACAGAGACAAAATGAATCAGGCTCAGAGACATGTGAAATAGACATGGAGACAGGATATGTAGGCTCAGAGATACAGTAAAGTAGGCTCAGAGACACAGTAAAATAGGCTCAGAGACAAAATGTAGGCTCGAGTCTGAGTTGCACCAGGTACGTGAGAGACAGAGACACTATGACAGGGTTTCTCAAACTATGGGTCGAATGGAGCGAACATTAAGTGGGCCCTGTCTGTAGAACGACACACCACCCTATCGGTCCAACCGCTGGCCGGACGGATTGTAATTATAAAAGTCCTTTATTTAGGTATATTGGTAACGGTTAATTATACTATAGGCGGGTCTCAAGTTTGGGAACTTGTATTTGATGAGTCGTACCCCAGACAACTTTGGGAACCACTGCACTATGATATAGGCTGAGAGATAAAGACACGATGAACTAGACTCATAGTGAAATAGACGTAGAGACACGGTAAAGTCGGCCCAGAGACACGGTGAAGTCGGTTCAAACACGGCGAAGTCTGCTCAGAGACATGGTGAAGTAGGCTCATAGACACGGTAGAGTCAGCTCAGACACGGTGAAGTCAGCTCAGGGACACGGTAAAGTAGGCTCAAAGAAACAGAGAAATAGGCTCAGAGAGACAACGAAGTAAAGCCTGGTCCGTGAGCACATAGAATCCCGTCCAATGACCCCAAGCTACCCATCCCTGTCGCTCGCGCGTAATTATGTTGCTATCGCGCTCGCACACTCACTGCGGGCGCCCGTCGCAGTCGCAACAGCAACAAAATTACGCGCGAGTGATAGGGATGGGTAGCTTGGGGTCATTGGACGGGATTCTATGTGCTCACGGACCAGGCTTTAGACAGAGACACGATGAAGTAGATACAGAGACAGGATGAAGTCGGTTCTGTTTCGTCTAATATGTAGCCAATGCTATAGAATATTTATAACTAAAGTTTGACAGGACCAATGCTTACTAACATTGCTTTTGTTTTCTGATTATAGGAGCTCATGGAACAACTGTCTACTTCGGACCAAGGCAAAGTGGATGAGTTGAACGACGCCATCCGCCGTCTCACTCAGGAGAACAAGGAAGCGTTCAGTTCTAGGATGAACTTGGAAGCCACCAAGAACAAACTGGAGAATCTTCTCACTAACAACTTGATTCGGTGAGTAATTGACGATTCATTTCTACTGAAAATAAACTACTTAAAATTTCACTAACATTACAATCTATTTTGTCCAGTGTCTTATGCCCGTTTTCACCATCAATCCCTAGTTTTTAAGTGACCCCTATGGTGACACATTATAGACATTTTGTTTTCATACGGGTCACTTAAAAGTTAGGGATTGATGGTGAAAACGGGCATTAGACATTTTTCAGTTACAGCTATAATCACGCCATTTCAGAGTGGTTCTCATTGACGAGGCTCAGGCGATAACTGCTAAACAAAAAAATGTTATTGAGAACTGCCCAGCAACCGCTTTATTGCTGTCTGACCAAGTTATTAGGAATATTCTAAATATGGCTATGGTAATATTTAGAATATTCCTAATAGTGCATTATTCTTTCCAGCCGTAAAGACGAGTTAGTTCAAGCGTTACAAGAGATCTCAGTCGAAGACCGCAAGCGGCGACTAGCCAACAGCAAGACTGACCTCGCCGCCGCTGAACGCCGCATTAAACAGATCAACCGCGAGTTGGAAGAAGTAGAACGGAAGGTGCAGACCGCCGTCAAGAACGAAAAGGCACTCAAATTGGAACTCGACAAGTGGAGAAACAAGGTAATGTCACCCCTGTCACCAATGCATAAGGTCCACAGATCAACCGCGAACTAGAAGACGTGGAGCGCCAAGTCGAGCTTAACAAGTGGAGGAACAAGGTAATGTCACTCCTGTTACCAATACATAAGGTCCACAGATCAACCGTGAGAAGGAAGAAGTAGAACGCAAGGTGCAGACCGCCGTCAAGAATGAGAAAGCTCTCAAGCTGGAACTCGACAAGTGGAGGAACAAGGTAATGTCACCCCTGACACCGCTACATAAGGTCCACAGATCATCCGCGAGAAGGAAGAAGTAGAACGCAAGGTGCAGACCGCCGTCAAGAATGAAAAAGCGCTCAAACTGGAACTCGACAAGTGGAGGAACAAGGTAATGTCACCCCTGACACCGCTACATAAGGTCCACAGATCATCCGCGAGAAGGAAGAAGTAGAACGCAAGGTGCAGACCGCCGTCAAGAATGAAAAAGCGCTCAAACTGGAACTCGACAAGTGGAGGAACAAGGTAATGTCACCCCTGACACCGCTACATAAGGTCCACAGATCATCCGCGAATTGGAAGAAGTAGAACGCAAGGTGCAGACCGCCGTCAAGAATGAGAAAACTCTCAAGCTGGAACTCGACAAGTGGTGGAACAAGGTAATGTCACCCCTGTCACCAATGCATAAGGTCCACTGTTACTTCGATAGTGAGTGTAGTGGAAGTTATTAAATGAAAAGAGTGGACTGTATAAAATTAATTGTCTATTCGGTATAAATTTACAATGATATTGAGACCGTTTAGTGCAAAGTCGTTGAAGAGAGTGCGTCAGGATCGTCTTCTTCCATATTCGCTTGCGAACCGAACATTGCTCGTTCGTTCGCCGAACGCTCGTCGCTCCCTCCGGTCACGCCGCCCGCGGGCAATGTCCGTGAGTAGACATCCACAGATCAACCGCGAGCTTAAGCCTGGTCCGTGAGCACGTAGAATTTTGTCCAATGACCCCAAGCTACCCATCCTTATCGCTCGCGCGTAATTATATTGCTGTCGCGACTGTGCGACGGGCGCCCGCAGTGAGTGTGCGAGCGCGACAGCAACATAATTACGCGCGAGCAATAAGGATGGGTAGCTTGGGGTCATTGGACAAAATGTACGTGCTCACGGACCAGGCTTTAGAAGACATGGTGCGCCAAGTCGAGCTTGACAAGTGGAGGAACAAGGTACGCCGTTGGAATGTCGCCCCTATCCCCGCAGCATAAGGTCCACAGATCATCCGCGAGATGGAAGAAGTAGAACGCAAGGTGCAGACCGCCGTCAAGAACGAAAANAGGCTCAGAGACATGTGAAATAGACATGACTGGATATGTAGGCTCAGAGATACAGTAAAGTAGGCTCAGAGACAAAATGTAGGCTCGAGTCTGAGTTGCACCAGGTACGTGAGAGACAGAGACACAATGATGTAGGCTCAGAGACATAGTGATGTAGACATAGACGATTTTGCGGGCCCAAGGAGCGTTCTCTAGCGCAGTGCCGCTCCAGTCTTGAAGCCATGCAGGCCACCAAGGAAGGACTCGAGTCTGAGTTGCACCAGGTACGTGAAAGATAGAGACACTATGACAGGGTTTCTCAAACTATGGGTCGAATAGAGCGAACATTAAGTGGGCCCTGCCTGTAGAACAGTGGTTCTTAACCGGTGGTCCGCGGACCACTGGTGGTCCCTGGAGGCATTCCAAGTGGTCCATGAAGACATCGTAATAAACAAGTGATGTGACGTGATGAGTCGAGTCAATGTATTTACTTAATAAAAAAAAATCCCTTTCATAGGGTTTTGAAAAAAATTGAGTGGTCCCTGATAAGACAGAAATTTGGTAAAATGGTCCCTCGTGACTTAAAGGTTAAGAACCACTGCTGTAGAACGACACACCACCCTATCGATCCAACCGCTGGCCGGACGGATTGTAATTAGAAAGTCCTTTATTTAGGTATATTGGTAACGGGTTAAATATACTATAGGTGGGTCTCAAGTTTGGGAACTTGTATTTGATGAGTCGTAGCCCAGACAACTTTGGGAACCACTGCACTATAATATAGGCGTAGAGATACAGACACAATGAATTTGTGTCATAGTTATAGTAAAATTGACGTAGAGACACGGTAAAGTCGGCCCAGAGACACGGTGAAGTCGGTTCAAACACGGCGAAGTCTGCTCAGAGACATGGTGAAGTAGGCTCAAAGACGGTAGAGTCGGCTCAGACACGGTGAAGTCCGCTCAGGGACACGGTAAAGTAAGCTCAAAGAAACAGAGAAATAGGCTCAGAGAAACAACGAAGTAAAGCCTGGTCCGTGAGCACGTAGAATCCCGTCCAATGACCCCAAGCTACCCATCCCTATCGCTCGCGCGTAATTATGTTGCTGTCGCTCTCGCACTCTCACTGCGGGCGCGCGTCGCAACAGTCGCAACAGCAACAAAAAAACGCGCGAGCGATAGGGATGGGTAGCTTGGGGTCATTGGACGGGATTCTATGTGCTCACGGACCAGGCTTTAGAGAGACACGATGAAGTAGATACAGAGACACGATGAAGTCGGATCTGTTTCGTCTAATGTGTAGCCAATGCTAACGTTGCTTTTATTTTCTGATTATAGGAGCTCATGGAACAACTGTCTACTTCGGACCAAGGCAAAGTGGATGAGTTGAACGACGCCATCCGCCGTCTCACCCAGGAAAACAAGGAAGCTTTCAGTTCTAGGATGAACTTGGAAGCCACCAAGAACAAACTGGAGAATCTTCTCACTAACAACTTGATTCGGTAAGTGTTTAGCCATTCATTTCATGCTTTTATTTAAGTGGCTATCGATGAAAATAAAATTACTTTTTGGCAGTTTCATAGCCGCGGTGTCCTATGTCAACAACAAGACGCGACGGGACACAATGATATGTCGCATATTGGCCGGTAGGCCGCATGCAAGATATGTCATTAGTTTGTTCGCGCTTCGTCTCTGACTTAGGAGACCGCGTAAGAATGCAATCTTACTGTCCGGTACCTTAGTCCTGTTCATTCACAGATATTATCACGCGATTTCTGATTGGTTCTCATGGTAATTGCACGGTTAATGTAAGTGAAAACTGCACAGTAACCGTTCGATTATCGTTATGTTTGAACAATCATTTAGGGATTATTCTAAGGACATTATTCTTTCCAGCCGCAAAGACGAGTTAGTTCAAGCGCTGCAAGAAATCTCTGTGGAGGACCGCAAGCGGCGACTAGCCAACAGCAAGACTGACCTGGCCGCCGCCGAGCGACGAATCAAGCAAATCAATCGCGAATTGGAAGAAGTAGAACGGAAGGTGCAGACCGCCGTCAAGAACGAAAAGGCACTCAAATTGGAACTTGACAAGTGGAGGAACAAGGTAATGTCACCCCTGTCACCAATGCATAAGGTCCACTGTTACTTCGATAGTGAGTGTAGTGGAAGTTATTAAATGAAAAGAGTGGACTGTATAAAATTAATTGTCTATTCGGTATAAATTTACAATGATATTGAGACCGTTTAGTGCAAAGTCGTTGAAGAGAGTGCGTCAGGATCGTCTTCTTCCATATTCGCTCGCGAACCGAACATTGCTCGTTCGTTCGCCGAACGCTCGTCGCTCCCTCCGGTCACGCCGCCCGCGGGCAATGTCCGTGAGTAGACATCCACAGATCAACCGCGAGCTAAAGCCTGGTCCGTGAGCACGTAGAATTTTGTCCAATGACCCCAAGCTACCCATCCTTATCGCTCGCGCGTAATTATATTGCTGTCGCGACTGTGCGACGCGCGCCCGCAGTGAGTGTGCGAGCGCGACAGCAACATAATCACGCGCGAGCGACAAGGATGGGTAGCTTGGGGTCATTGGACAAAATCTACGTGCTCACGGACCAGGCTTTAGAAGACGTGGTGCGCCAAGTCGAGCTTGACAAGTGGAGGAACAAGGTACGCCGTTGGAATGTCGCCTCTATCCCCGCAGCATAAGGTCCACAGATCAACCGCGAGAAGGAAGAAGTAGAACGCAAGGTGCAGACCGCCGTCAAGAATGAGAAAGCTCTCAAGCTGGAACTCGACAAGTGGAGGAACAAGGTAATGTCGCCCCTGTCACCAATACATAAGGTCCACAGATCAACCGCGAGAAGGAAGAAGTAGAACGCAAGGTGCAGACCGCCGTCAAGAACGAAAAGGCGCTCAAATTGGAACTCGACAAGTGGAGGAACAAGGTAATGTCACCCCTGTCACCAATGCATAAGGTCCACAGATCAACCGCGAACTAGAAGACGTGGAGCGCCAAGTCGAGCCTAACAAGTGGAGGAACAAGGTAATGTCACTCCTGTTACCGCTACATAAGGTCCACAGATCAACCGCGAGATGGAAGAAGTAGAACGCAAGGTTAAGACCGCCGTCAAGAATGAGAAAGCGCTCAAGCTGGAACTCGACAAGTGGAGGAACAAGGTACGGTATTGGATTATCGCCCCTATCACCGCTGCATAAGGCATAGGTCGCTAAATCGAGACATCTGACATTGATGACACTGCATCTTAATTCAGATGGTGACTTCAGTGGTTTCATCCCACACCTAGAACTAAATTAATCCACTATCGCTCAACGAGAGTTGAGTCCATCAACACAAGCAAAGATTTGTATCCGTATACGCTGTCTAAGCTGACATCTTGCGTAGACGAACTAACAAGTGCTTTCTGTCTCGCTTGCAGACAAAACAAGAGCGAGGTAGATCGTGTATTCAATATTTGAAATGAATATGTGTAAGACTAGGCGCAGACCATCGATTTTTAGTTGGCCGATAGTTGTGCCCGATTTTAAATCGTATGAAGAATCGGCCAAATCGAATCGGTGTAATGTGCGCACTTCCATACATGCCCATACTTATCAACTGCCCGAGTAAACTATCGACCGACGAAAAATCGATGGTCTGCGCATAGGCTTAATGTTGTTTGTGTTCTGTACTCAAATATCATCAGTGTGAATACGTGTTCGCCTCAAACTCAACTTTCGTTAGCGACCTATAAAACAATGTGTCTAAATATTTTAACTTTATTTTATTGGTAATGATTGTAGGAAAAAGAAGCTCAAGATAAAATGGAAGAGGACGCCAAAGGATTGGAAAAGATGGCGTCCAAAGAAGTGTTGCTACAGGAGAAAATACAAGAATCTCTGGACAAAATCGCAGCGCTGGGAACGTTGCCCAACGCGCCTGAACTCCATGCTAAATACCAGAAAATGTCTTTAAAACAGGTAATTTATATTGTTATACAGAAATAATAAAGCCAGGGTCTTATGAAGTTATGATTATACTTTTATTTGTATTTTTGTTTCTTATATTAATGTTATTTTCAGCTTTTCAAAGAGTTAGAAAAAGCCAATCAGCACCTCAAAAAGTACAACCACGTGAACAAGAAAGCTTTAGATCAGTTCATTAGTTTCTCAGAACAGAAGGAAAAACTGTACAAACGGAAGGAGGAACTTGATATTGGGTAAAATACTTTTTTTAATAAATTAACTTATCTTTAATGAAAAGCAAGATATCAAACATAAAAGTTAAAGGAACCTATCTCTTTTGACTTGCTTCCAGTCACTCTTCCTTTAACTCTCAACCAAAGTTATTATTGCATACGTCGATGATTTTTTGTCAAAAACTTGTTATATGGACTGTTTCATCTCCGTTTCATTTGATTGCTACGCCATAAATTGGATCAATATGATCAAATATTATATGCTTAGAAGACAAGTTTTATGCAAATAATTGAGTGTAACATAAATCAACTATTTTCTGCAATCAGTCAAGTTAACAGCGCACCCGGTAGCCGTGACGTCACATCGACGCTCTGGTACAAGAGAGTTGCATTCCAGCGAGGTGCGCAGTTAATTCGATGTGGTTGTAGTTCTAAAACAGATTTTTTTTACTTACTTCATCTAACTCATAACGATCGACCGACGATCTGGTGAAGGTCGCGGGAGGTGCCTGGATGCGAGCGGTGCAGGCCCGGTCTTTGTGGAAATCCTTGGGGGAGGCCTTTGTCCAGCAGTGGACGTGTTTCGGCTGAAACGAACGAATCTAACTCATCATCATCATCATCATCATCATTTCAGCCACAGGACGTCCACTGCTGAACATAGGCCTCCCCCAATGACTTCCACATCGCACGGTTGGTAGCGGCCTGCATCCAGCGCCTTCCCGCTACCTTTATCAGGTCATGTCTTTTCGTCCAAAATACCNTGAGAAAACTCTCAAGCTGGAACTCGACAAGTGGTGGAACAAGGTAATGTCACCCCTGTCACCAATGCATAAGGTCCACTGTTACTTCGATAGTGAGTGTAGTGGAAGTTATTAAATGAAAAGAGTGGACTGTATAAAATTAATTGTCTATTCGGTATAAATTTACAATGATATTGAGACCGTTTAGTGCAAAGTCGTTGAAGAGAGTGCGTCAGGATCGTCTTCTTCCATATTCGCTTGCGAACCGAACATTGCTCGTTCGTTCGCCGAACGCTCGTCGCTCCCTCCGGTCACGCCGCCCGCGGGCAATGTCCGTGAGTAGACATCCACAGATCAACCGCGAGCTTAAGCCTGGTCCGTGAGCACGTAGAATTTTGTCCAATGACCCCAAGCTACCCATCCTTATCGCTCGCGCGTAATTATATTGCTGTCGCGACTGTGCGACGGGCGCCCGCAGTGAGTGTGCGAGCGCGACAGCAACATAATTACGCGCGAGCAATAAGGATGGGTAGCTTGGGGTCATTGGACAAAATGTACGTGCTCACGGACCAGGCTTTAGAAGACATGGTGCGCCAAGTCGAGCTTGACAAGTGGAGGAACAAGGTACGCCGTTGGAATGTCGCCCCTATCCCCGCAGCATAAGGTCCACAGATCATCCGCGAGATGGAAGAAGTAGAACGCAAGGTGCAGACCGCCGTCAAGAACGAAAAGGCACTCAAATTGGAACTTGACAAGTGGAGGAACAAGGTAATGTCACCCCTGTCACCGCTACATAAGGTCCACAGATCAACCGCGAGATACGGGACGTGGGGAGCAAAGTCGAGCTTGACAAGTGGAGGAACAAGGTAATATCACCCTTATCATCGCTAGTGCACAGAGAACATGGACTACATTTTTCCTAAGGATATTGTGCTTGATGCGGCGCTGCATCAAGCACAATATCCTTAGGAAAAATCACCCTTGTCACAATCGCATACGGCACCACCGTATTTACCTTGATTTGATCGCTGTAAGACATGTCAGGCGTCTATGACTGGCCCCTAATCCTAGGTTGTGAATTTCTTGAGTTACATACAGTCTACGCCAGTGTTTTTCAACCTGTGGGTCGCGACCCTCTGGTGGGTCGCGAAGTCTCTATAGGGGGTCGCGAGAGGTCTTAAAAATTACCTCCGTAAAAAAACAGTAAAGTTTTAAAGCTAGATTTATCCGAAATGTAATTATGCAAATGCATAAATTTTAATGTTGTATAGATTGAAGAATTCGGTCCCTACAACATCTTCGTAAAAGGCATGAAAAAAAAGCGAACGGTCGGGGGGTCGCAAAAATTTTTTTCATGCTATGGGGGGTCGCGTCATGAAAAAGGTTGAAAAACACTGGTCTACGCTATAAAAATCCGTTAATACAATATTTAATTTAAACTAAAGTCCTGAGTTCATCAATGTACACGGTAGCTTCATAAACAAATTAATAAATGTACCATCATGTCCACTGCTGGACCTTTTTCAACATTCCGTCACATTGTACACAAATAAATACTTTCATGATATTATTTATAGGAAAAAGAAGCTCAAGATAAAATGGAAGAGGACGCTAAAGGCTTGGAAAAGATGGCGTCCAAAGAAGTGTTGCTACAGGAGAAAATACAAGAATCTCTGGACAAAATCGCAGCGCTGGGAACGTTGCCCAACGCGCCGGAACTCCATGCTAAATACCAGAAAATGTCTTTGAAACAGGTAATTTAGAATATTGACAAAATATGAGTATAGCCAGGATCTTGTGTATTAGTTCACACTTTTATTTGTATATGTTTGTTTCTATTTTCAGCTTTTCAAAGAGTTAGAAAAAGCCAATCAGCACCTCAAAAAGTATAACCACGTGAACAAGAAAGCTTTAGATCAGTTCATTAGTTTCTCAGAACAGAAGGAAAAACTGTACAAACGGAAGGAAGAACTTGATATTGGGTAAGACACTTTTATATAAATTAACTTTTCTTAAAAAAATAACATGTCAAATATAGAAATTTTAAAATGGAAACAAGTCAAAAGGGAAAGCTCAACCAAAGTTATTATTGCATTATACGTTGATGATTTTCTGCCAAAAACTTGTTATGTGGACTGTTTCATCTCCGTTTCATTTGATTGCTACGCCATAAATTGGATCAATATGATCAGTATTATATGCTTAGAAGACAAGTTTTATGCATATAATTGAGTGTAACATAAATCAACTATTTTCTGCAATCAGTCAAGTTAACAGCGCACCCGGTAGCCGTGACGTCACATCGACACTGGTACAAGAGAGTTGCATTCCAGCGAGGTGCGCGGTTAATTCGACAGGGTTGTAGTTCTAAAACAGATTTTTTTTACTTCATCTAACTCATGACGATCGACCGACGATCTGTTGAAGGTCGCGGGAGGTGCCTGGATGCGAGCGGTGTATGATCGGTCTTTGTGGAAATCCTTGGGGGAGGCCTTTGTCCAGCAGTGGACGTCTTTCGGCTGAAACGAACGAATCTAACTCAGCCGTCTGGTGTAGTGGTTCAGAACGGACTACTATGCCGAGAGGTCCCGGGTTCGATTCCCGGCCGGGCAGAAATTGAAATGATGAATTTTAATTTCTGTGACGGGTCTGGGTGTGACTATGTATGATATGTATGTATTTAAAAAAAAAAGTATATAAGTAGTATATCCGTTAAGTTAGCACCCATAACACAAGCATTAAGTTGCTTACTTTGGGGCTAGCTGGCGCTGTGTGAAATTGTCCAAAGATTTATTATTATTATTATATCTATTTAATTTCCAGCGGCGAGAAGATCCGCGAGCTCATCGAAACCCTAGAGCACCGTAAGCTAGAAGCCATCCAGTTTACCTTCAAGCAGGTGACCAAGAACTTCACGGAGGTATTCAAGAAGCTCGTCCCGCACGGCCGCGGCAGCCTCATCATGCGGGTAGGCGCCGACGACGCGCCCGACGTCAACCCCGAGGTAACTGACGGATATCTATAGGTTTAACCATAGAATAATAATAAGTACTACGTACAGAAGGTTTACTTCTAGGCTAAGGTATTTAAAAAAAATATGCTCAATGTCATTAACAATATGGTGTAATTTAGCTTGTCTCAAGAGTCAAGCACCATTTTGTTGACAAACGTCAGTGATCGGTACTGCGCCGAAGCCATAGGGCTGACTTCGGTAAAATGATGTGTGACGTGAGGTACCAAACTGCAGAAAATGACGGAGAAAATACATGATTAAGCATGAATTATCATGAATAATATTAACCACTTATTTACCTCTTAGTGTCTTCAGGCAACTTAAAAAGTACATTCTGTGTTTTTATTATTATTTAGGCAGTTAAATACTGCACAGTATTTAGTACACCATTTTCTTTAATTTTTTCCATCATTCACAATAATACGCGTGCGTGAGTCAATGCTCGCTCGTATGTGAGGCCTTGTCAAATTATAGTAATCCTATAGGGTGCCATCGTGCTTATTTTGTTTTCGATATGAACAGGCCTTTTTTTTCGGGAAAAATGCATTGAATTGCATACCTACCCTACGGGGACACGGTAGGTTATGTGGGGCTCACCAAGTCAGAAGGACAAGGCATACCCGCTAAAAGACCCCGGTGCTCCATCATTCGCCTTAAATGGGAAGGAACAAAAAAAGTCATTGATTTTCAACCGTATCTTCACAGCATAAAGATCAAATTGATGTGGGCTGTGGATACCAGTCTGGTTAAGGGTTAACTCAGTCAATGCCTGATGTATGGCATGGGGGGGTGACATTAACATATAATGATGTGACAGAGGATACAAATCGGAAGCATATTCTGAAGTCTCAGCTTGACGTCTCAAAAACTTACAAAAACTTACTTACCTCCCAGAATCAACTGGTAGTGTAAAAAACGAAAATTCAGTATTTAATGTTGTGTGTAAGCAACCGTCTGCTGAACAATTATTATAATACGCCATTTTGTTGTTCACTCATTTTCGCATAAACAAAATAATTTCAAAAACGCGTCAGCGGCGCGACTCAAGCGAACGTCTGTCGCGCTCGCATTCGTCCAAGACAGTCCCAGATAACGTGTACGTGAGCAGTGTCTGTGCGTGCTCGAGCGCACTTAGTATGGAGTTTACCTTCTGTTATATTTTGTGCCTATAGTTAATTGACATAATTACATACTTACATTTTTCCGCCAATACTTGTGTTCTCTTTGAGAAATTGAGGCACCTCCCGCGACCTTCACCAGATCGTCGGTCCACCCAGTGGGAGGATTTCAAAACTACAACGCTCTATTTTATGTTACAGCGAGCGAATGCGGACCAATTCGCAGGAGTAGGCATCAAAGTGTCGTTCACTGGCGGCGAGGGTGACATGCGAGAGATGAACCAGCTGTCGGGCGGACAGAAGTCGCTGGTCGCGCTGGCTCTCATCTTCGCCATCCAGAAGTGCGACCCCGCGCCCTTCTACTTGTTCGACGAGATCGACCAGGTGAGCGCTCTAGTGCCGCGGAATAAGGTTCAAGTTCGTTCACAAGCGAGACGAACCAGCTGTCGGGCGGACAGAAGTCTCATCTTCGCCATCCAGAAGTGCGACCCCGCGCCCTTCTACTTGTTCGACGAGATCGACCAGGTGAGCGCTCTAGTGCCGCGGAATAAGGTTCAAGTTCGTTCACGAGCGAGACGAACCAGCTGTCGGGCGGACAGAAGTCGCTGGTCGCGCTGGTGCTCATCTTCGCCTTCTACTTGTTCGATGAAATCGATCAGGTGAGCATTTGGTTTATACTCTTTATTTTGGCTAATTTTTTTGCACATTTTAAATGAATTAGGCCTTCCCCACAGTAGTTGCTGTGACGCCAATGTTGAGCGTCTACCGAACGCCGGTTCTTCGCAGTGCTGGCGAGACGATGACGTTCAAAAGACGCTAGCGTTAGGGAACTCTAATTAACAGTTTGTCACTAAAGACCGGTCAGCAGATTGAATTTCGTACAAGACTCCAAGCTACCCATACTTATCGCTTGGGGTCATTGTACGAAATTCTATCTGCTCGGCGACCGGACTTTATCTATACGTAAACGGTTTAAAGATTATTGGCAAAAATAACCAAATTTCCTAGATTTCTTTCAGCACTGAATGGTGTAGGCCACATTACCGTCTCAAAGCAGTTGTAGGATTATAATAAGGGTGACATCAGGTGCTTCATCGACTGGGGAACAAAACCGCACCTGCACTCCATGCTCAAGCCATCCAAGAATCCCCACCTGGCCAGATTGTCCTTACTACGGCCAACCTGCGTCTGAAGTCTATTTGAAGACTTCCAGGTAAGCCAGGAGAGCTCATGTCCAGGTGGAGGACTCTCAGACATAGGGACAAAAGGGCAGGGGAGATCAGCTCTCTCGCGCCATAACCTGCATCTCCCTCCGCCATTCTTGTGGCGGAGTTTTGGCTGACACTGTGTAGATTTGTTGTTGACACGAAAAGAAGAAGAAGATAATAAGGGTGACAATGTGCGTTTTGTTGAAAGCCTTATTAAAACTATATTACTTAAACTTGTGTTATATCGTAGGCGCTGGACGCGCAGCACCGCAAGGCGATAGCAAACATGATCCACGAGCTGTCGTCGTCGGCGCAGTTCATCACCACCACCTTCCGGCCCGAGCTGCTCGAGCACGCGCACAAGTTCTACGGCGTCAAGTTCCGCAACAAGGTGAGACCGCTGCTGTTATTGCTATTTCGTCCTATCAGGCCTGTTCATCTCCGCGAGTTTACATCGAAAACAAAACACGCACGATGGCCCACCTACAGGATACTATTCGACAAGGCCTCACATACGAGCGAACATTGACTCACGCACGCGTATTCTTGTGTATGATGGAAGAAAATAAAGAAAATGGTGTACTAAATACTGTACACTTCACAGTATTTAACTTCTTTAAATTCCTAAATAATAATAATAACACAGAATGTACTTTTTTAAGTTGCCTCAAGACACTGAGAGGTAAATAAGTAGTTATAGTTCCAAAATACTGAACTGTCCTATGCATGACATTGACAGTGGGGCGCCACCGTCAATACCGGATCGCTGGTTCCGATTTTTGTCATGTTGGAAACCATATACTTGAACGATGGTAGCGCCCCCCTGTCATTGAGTTTGGTGGGACAGTTCAGCGTGGGTCATCTATAATATTATTCATGATAATTTATGCCAAATCATGTATTTCCTCCGCCATTTTCCGCAGTTTGGCACCTCACGTCACATCATTTTACCGAAGTCAGATCACTGACGTTTGTCAACAAAATGGTGCTTGACTCTTGAGACAGGCTAAATTACACCATATTGTTAATGACATTGAGCATACATTTTTTTAAATACCTTCGCGAAGTAAAACTTCTGTACGTAGTACTTATTATTATTCTGTGGTAATACTATCATACAGTATTGTAACTTCATATAAACGGACGAAACCGCGAGCTTTCCTTCGAAATTCAAATCTCGGTATGCGCTCGACATGCAAAACTCGGGGGTGTCGCGAATGTGCCACAGTAATAAACGGACGATGTGTGGTTTTTGTAAACACTAAGTGTTTTTTTTATAAAAGTAATTACAAGTACCTGTTTATACAGGGTGTTAGGTAAATAGGTTTATAAGCCGACACTAGCCCATGTTAACATATGCATGTAAATGGTATGGTGAAGTCAGTGACATAATCTTTTTTTTTTTAATTTTCATACAAATTTAAAATTTATAAAATCAGATTAATATGAAAATTATTAAAATGATGATATCAATTTTCTGACTTCACCATACATGTTAACATGGGCTAGTGTCCGTTTATAAACCCTTTTACCTAACATCCAGTATAATAATCAAGCATTTTGTACGCCTTAGTCGAAGTTACGGTCGCTATTTTACGGTCCCAAATAAGATTTGTTACAAAATCTTAACACAAATATATTTTTTTTAACTAATCACAAAACAACATGCATTTTTATCTTATTTCATTCACAAAGTATTTTGTTTGTCTAAATAAAATAAAAAATTACAATCACAAAATACATTCACAAAACTAGATAGAAATTCTAAGTAGGCAGATGTAATGAAAATAGGGTCTGCAGGTGGGCAGCCCTATTGCATGTTGTCATAAGGTGACAGACCGCGCGGCTGCTGACATTTATTTCAAAAATATGGCCGAGTTGGAATACTGTATAGATAGTATTACCGTGCTGTAGGTCCTTAACTGAGTCAATGCCTGAGGTATGGGAGCGGTACGGGGTGGTGATTTTTATGACGTGACAGAGCATACAAATCTAAAGCTTATTTAAAATCTCGCTGGGATTCCGTGGAGGGTAGTTGAACGGGAAGCATGGTCGATCTGTTTTAATGGTTTCAATTTATTATTTAATGGACTTTAGTGTACAAAGGTGTTATTTTGTGTTCTAAAGTGCAGTGAAGTGATAAATTATAAAACACATTGAAATACTTCGAATTTGAGCGCGCATCGAGTGTCGAGTGGGTTGTCGTATGAACAACCCGCTTTGGACCCGGTGGCGTCTCGAAACCTACTTACGGGCATACTTAACTCCACGGAATCCATGAAAAATCAATAGAACTGAAACACCCACGTTCTATTGATAACTATGTAAATTTTCACTCGACATTGGCAGAAATAAACCTCCCAGAGAGGTTTGGTTGCCATAAAAAAAAACTCGCTGACGCTGACGTTTGAAGTCACCAAAAACACCCTTCCATGCCGCTCCCATAACTTAGGGCCTAAGGTAAGGTAAGGTGCCTAAGGTTTAGGCACTGACTCAGTTAGAACTATAGTAAATTACCTAGAGAAATCGGATAACGGATATCGGATCTCGTGCGTAAACTACCACACAAATAGTTCTACGACTACTCCGGGCCGTATTTTTTTACGGATTGAGATTCTGATCTAACTTCGCTATTTTTTACATGCATAAACACCATGCATTCCTTGTATTGTATATACCATATGAACAATAATTACACAATTTTGTAATAGTTAAAGTGATTTACTAATCTTAAATTGCTTGAAAAAGATTTTTTACTTTGACCAATTCGATGTTATTTCCTTATCTTGTGATAATGAAAATGAAAAAAAACTTGTATCTTGTGATAATATTGTTTAATTTTATTTCCCCAGGTATCTCACGTCGAATGCGTCACACAGGACGAGGCCAGAGACTTCGTGGAAGACAGCGCGCAACACGCATAAGTTTTACCTTCAAACACAACTCGGCAGTGGCACTACTAAAATGCTTGTCTATTAATTAGACTGCGTTATGAGTGAGGCGGAATTTTCATACAAATGACGTATAATATGAGAGTGGCGCGTCGGAAAACATGAAAGCTCACAATGCCGCGATAAAGCTGGATCTTTAAGTTTATTTTGCACTAATAATTCAAATATAATTATTTTTTAATAAAATTCTTATACAATGTGCATCCGTGGCCTAGTTATTAGTTGGGACTTACCGAGGTTTAGTAATATGGCGAAGAGGAAATTCAAATGCATAATTTTGTTAACTACAGATTCATTTCGCAAATACATATCCAGAACCATCTTTAGGCTAATTACGATGACTGAAATTCACTCAATTTCCAATTTGACATGTTCATTGTTATAGAGTAAGACATTTTTAATAAAAACATTTCTTTTTATTTAACGTTTTCATCACTTAAAATACAAATAGGTCATGAATGAGACATGACCCAATTATTGGAATCGTTAGAGCATCAGTTCGTCTTGTTATGAAATCCTGGGACGCGAAATTAACAAACTGAAGTCGATGACGAGGACCTTGTCAAATTCAATAATTTTTAACCGACTTCAACAAAATGAGGAGGTTCTCAATTCGGTTGGTAAGTTTTTTTGGAGAGCTAATGCCGTTGACTAATGACGTTTTTTGATTCCAATAGATTTGAGTTCTAATACTGCGGGACTTTTTAGATATAATTTTTAGTTTATTTTTATTTAAAATTTTATACAGCAGGACATGAATAATGTTTCATGTCANGTTTGATGAAATTGATCAGGTGAGCGTTATGTTTACTCTTTAATAATAATAATAATAAGACCCTCGTCTTCGGCTTGCCGAAGTGGAATCCGGTCTACAGGACTTTCACCTCTGGCTTGCCTTAACCGGCCGGCCAGAGTGGAGTGGCTAGAGCTATATGCTCCAGGGGTGGAAGTGTTAAAGGGCATAACGCCGCGAGTAACTTCGGAGAAAGCGCAGCACACCTCTCTACACCCCTGAGCTGGCAGACGCCAATGTGTTGCCCCTCAGTCCGGTCTATACGACCCATGACGCCAGGGGGGGCCCATTTTAGTCGCTGGCTAGTCACCGCCTGCCATTTTTTCAGTCCGAGACTATGAACCAGGCAGGTGTCCCGTAGTCTCCATCCATAGCCCAGTAACCAGTCCATCCATTCTTCATTCATAACCCTAGTCCATTCTCCAATAACTGCAATAGCTCCTGTGCACAGGCTGGGGATGGTCTCTGGCTACATCCCATGATATAGTCAGAGACTAGATCCAGCATGTGCACCACTTTCACTTTTGTCGATTATTTTGCGCTTAAAACGGCCTCTACGTGTTGGATCTGTATCCCCACGCAAGCCTTATAAAGGACCAGGCCACTTTTGACCCGTGAGCTCCAAAGCGTACAAACATAATAATAATAATAATAAAAACGTTTATTGCTGTTTATCTTTCTATTATTATGGCTGAATTTGGCCATTTAAACGAACTAAGCCTTCCTTACACTAGCGTTTCCCCAATCCGTCCTCCGGACACGGCCTGAGTCGCGGTCCGAGCCTACCGTGGCGCCCTCAGGCCGCGTCCGTAGTCCCCTCGATCGGGCCCACTAGAGTGAGCCCGCCGTAGGCTGGACTTTGGTCCAACACCGCGGTGGGCAACCCTCTAGTTGGGTTCGCCACTGATCGGGCGCCTTATGCGCTCGATACGGCCCGATCGCGAACGTCGGTCTGCGACCGACGCGGACGAGCCTGGGCTTCCCACACTCGGCCTCGTCGGCACGCGCACCGACGATCGCCAAACGGCTAGAGTACCTTCTGTACTCGCCACTCTGCCCGGTGAAGCTGAAAAAGCTCTTCAAGCTACCAGAGCGCGTCCCTTAAAAAAGAAAAAGTACACTAGCCGTTGATGCGGCGCTGAATTACCGTTGCCGTGACGCCAATAATGCTGAGCGTTAGGCGAACGCCGAATCATCGCAGAGCTCTGACGTTATTTAGTTTAGAGGGAGTTGATGTGCCGTGTCTCGTCGGCGCCTAGCCTGCGCAGCGTAGACGTTTGAAAGACGCTACTGTAAGGGAAGCCTAATTTACAGTTTATGTTACTATAATGTATAGTTGTTGCAATTCACGAAGGCGAGTGAGCTTTACATCTGCGGTGGCAGTTTTGATAGACATTACACTATTGTTATGTGCATGTACACGTACACAAACAAGTAAAGCTCACTCACCTTCGTGAGTTGCAAGATCTATACCTAGAATATAAACAGTTGATTAAGGCCCAGAACACACGGTGAAACACAATGAGGGTTTTCGCGAATGAAAAATCCGCCAGATGGCAATACGTAGACGCGAGGTCCAAATGCTGCATGATTGGTTATTTTTGACATGACGTTGACAGATATGTCAAAATCCACCAATCACGCAGCAGTCAGACCCCACATCCACGTCCCGCCATCTAGCGGATCTTTCATTCGCGAAAACCCTCATTGCAACGAAACTGCAACTTCTAGTTACTTTTGAGTTGCATCTAAGTTTCTGCCATAGATTCCGTTGAGAGACCACACATGACGCGACCATTTCAAACCGGTTTCAAACTGGTTAACACATTATTCTTGAAGCAGTTGTAGGGTTATAAAGTAACGAAGGCCTTATCATCAATCTATATGTCAAACTTGTGTTATGCGCAGGCGCTGGACGCGCAGCACCGCAAGGCGATCGCCAACATGATCCACGAGCTGTCGTCGTCGGCGCAGTTCATCACCACCACCTTCCGGCCAGAGCTGCTCGAGCACGCGCACAAGTTCTACGGCGTCAAGTTCCGCAACAAGGTGAGACCGCTGCTGTTATTACTATGGCCGGCAATACACGGACCGCTTGAAGCAGTCAAGGTCGACAGCTTCAAGCTGCGACTGCACAGTGAACTGCAGAGTTCTATGGACGCACATACACGAACCGCTCGAGCGACTGATTCGGGCGGTCGACAGCACGGTGAATTTTCATCGTGCGGTCAAGCAGTCGCCAGCCATACACTGACTGCTCGAGCTGTCGACAGCTCTCGCGCAGTTACCTCCGCCCACTTTCTTCATTCTACGGCGCGCGCGCTTGTGGTTTGTTGAGCAGTTAATACCAACTGCTCGAGCAGTTATCACTGGCAGCTTCTAGCTGTTGACTCTTGACTACAAGAGTGGTCCGTGTATGTTGATCACTGAGTAACTGCTCGAGCTGTCCGTGTATGGCGGGCCTTAATACAACCTATAGGTATAACGCTTAACTGAGTCAATGCCTGAGGTATGGGAGCGGTACGGGGTGGTGATTTTTATGACGTGACAGAGCATACAAATCTAAAGCTCATTTAAAATCTCGCTGGGATTAGGTAGTTGAACGGGAAGCATGGTCGATCTGTTTTAATGGTTTCAATTTATTATTTAATGGACTTTAGTGTACAATTTTGGTGTTATTTTGTGGTCTAAAGTGCAGTGAAGTGATAAATTATAAAACACATTGAAATACTTCGAATTTGAGCGCGCATCGAGTGTCGAGTGGGTTGTCGTATGAACAACCCGCTTTGGACCCGGTGGCGTCTCGAAATCTACTTACGGGCATACTTAACTCCACGGAATCCATGAAAAATCAATAGAACTGAAACACCCACGTTCTATTGATAACTATGTAAATTTTCACTCGACATTGGCAGAAATAAACCTCCCAGAGAGGTTTGGTTGCCATAAAAAAAAAACTCGCTGACGCTGACGTTTGAAGTCACCAAAAACACCCTTCCATGCCGCTCCCATAACTTAGGGCCTAAGGTAAGGTAAGGTGCCTAAGGTTTAGGCACTGACTCAGTTATGCGCTAGACCTATGGTAAATTACCTAGAAAAATCGGATAACGGATGTCGGTTCTCGTGCGTACACAAATAGTTCTACGACTACTCCGGGCCGTATTTTTACGGATTGGGATTCTGATCTAACGTCGCTATTTTTTACATGCATTCCTTGTATTGTAATAGTTTAAGTGATTTACTAATCTTAAATATAGTCTGGTCTCTGAGCACGTAGAATTTTGTCCAATGACCCCAAGCTACCCATCCTTATCGCTCGCGCGTAATTATGTCGCTGTCACGCTCGCACACTCACTGCGGGCGCCCGTCGCACAGTCGCGACAGCAATATAATTACGCGCGTTCGATAAGGATGGGTAGCTTGGGGTCATTGGACAAAATTCTACGTGCTCAGAGACCAGGCTTTAGCTTGAAAAAGATTTTTTCCTCTGACCAATCCGATGTTATTTCCTTATCTTGCGATAGTGAGAATGAAAAAACTTGTATCTTGTGATAATATTGTTTAATTTTATTTCCCCAGGTATCTCACGTCGAATGCGTCACACAGGACGAGGCTCGAGACTTCGTGGAAGACAGCGCGCAACACGCGTAATACCACTACTCGGCAGTGGCACAGTACTAAAATGCTTGTCTTATATTTATTACACTGCGTTATGAGTGAGGCGGAGTTTTCATACAAATGACGAATAATATTATGAGAGTGGCGTCGGAAAACACCGAAAGCCCACAACGCCGCGATAGAGCTGGATCTTTATGTTTATTTTGCACAAGTAATTCAAATATAATTAATTTCTAATAAAATTCTTATACAATGTGCATCCGTGGCCTAGTTAAGTTGGGACTTACCGAGGCGGTAAAATTAGCTATTTAACTATGCGGACAACGGCGAAGAGGAAATTCTTATGCATAATTTTGTTAACTACAGATTCATTTCGCAACTACATATCCAAAACCATCTTTAGGCTAATTACGATGACTGAAATTCACTCAATTTCCAATTTGACATGTTCATTGTTATAGAGTAAGACATTTTTAATAAAAACATTTCTTATTATTTAACGTTTTCATCACTTAAAATACAAATTGGTCATGAATGAGACATGACCAAATTATTGGAATCGTTAGAGCATCAGTCCGTCTTGTTATGAAATCCTGGGACGCGAAATTAACAAACTGAAGTCGATGACGAGGACCTTGTCAAATTCAATAATTTTTAACCTACTTCAACAAAATGAGGAGGTTCTCAATTCGGTTGGTAAGTTTTTTTGGAGAGCTAATGCCGTTGACTAATGACGTTTCTTGATTCCAATAGATATCTGATGAGTTCTAATGCTGCGGGACTTTTTAGATATAATTTTAAGTTTATTTTTATTCAAATTTTTATACAGCAGGACATGAGTAATGTATCATGTCATACGATGGAGTTCAAGTAATTAAATAAATAAGACGATTGAGCTATTTTTTTACTGTAGTATTTTAATCCTAGTAAATAAGATAGAAAAACTAGATTCGGATTACATTTTTTTATTATTAAGTATCTGATTGCGAATGTATGAAGTTCTGTGAAAAGATGAATGATGTGACAATGTTATAGAACATCACAAATCATTAATATTCTAAATGAGCTGTTATTGTTTTTAAAGTATGAAGTGATGTTGTCAATGATAGTAATTAAAGATTGCCTTACCTGAAGTAAATGTTTATTATAATACGATATTTTTGTCTCAATAGCAACTGGTGTTGAGCAAATAAAAGAATACGTTAAAGAAGTAAGTACTTTTTATTTACAAATTCGTAAGAAGTAACATTATTGATTCCGACAAAATTCAATATTACATACTAAATACTGGGTTAACTTGATGCAGCTTATTCTAATAGAATGGCTTTTATTGGCCACATATAATTTTTAACAATCATTCCTCAGGGTAACTTTATTACATGATATGCAAGTAGGTATAAAATTAAATTCTCTGTTAAAATTTCTTTTTATTGACTAGTTTATATGCAAGTTTGACTATACATATACACGAAATTTATAATATTGTTTATATTTGTAGTTAAATTTAATGGTGCTCAGATGTCGTGATTTGAAGTCACGATAGCTGAATAATTTACTATTTTATCACACAGTACTCATAAATTGAAGGCACACTGTCATACAGCATCAAATAGCATCTACTTTACTATTACTCGAAATATTGAAGTAAATAAGAGTATTTTGTACAACTTACATTTATTAGATCATTTCGAAACATTTTAGAATAGAATCACTCTTGGAAAGCATACATAATAATAATAATGTTTATTTATATTATTCATGCCTACCACAGCCAGCTCGATAGTAGCAAATCATTAACTCTCAAACTATAAAATTATCAAAAAACGTGTAGCGATCATCCTCAATCAATTAGAAAATCCATCGAAATAGGAAGATGACAAATTACATTGTTAACTTAATTACTGTGCACGCATAACTCAAGTTATTGCAATAGTTTTCACTGTATGATTTTAGTTTATTTTAACTGCATTCAGATTTTTTCAGTACTCATTTATCAATGCTTTTGTCATTCTCACTAACCTTTAATTAGGAATTTAAAGTAAAACTTGCAATTAAGCTATCTACAGAACATTTTATAATGTATTATATCTGGCGAAGTTAGAGCCACAGTGATTCCAGTTTTTTAAGAGAATAGGCCTGCATGCCCTTCATGCAAGTAAACTCATGTCAAGTCATGGTAAATATAATAAAATGCGAGTTGTATCACTATGGTTCTAAACTCGCCATCTATAGTCGAATAGCGTGCTTCCGAAATTAAAAAAAACCGAAAAATCACACCATTAAAAATTAAACTCCAAAATGCTTAGACCGACTGTACCTGCAAGTTCCAAGTAACGTTGGCACATGCTTATATTATACATATGACACGCATTTGTATATTTCGTCCATTATTCTAACACTCAACACAAAATAAACACAATGTGTCATTACATACACATACAATTCGAAAATCCACACAAAAATACCTTTGAGCAAGTGTATTCGACTATAGACCAAGAAGCCGAAAGAATTGAAGACCAAACCTAACCAATCACATTAATCCCAAACCCTTAATACTAAATTCGTTAGACAAATTATCGTAAAAAAGGGACAACACTACATTTATAATTTTGGTATCTTTTTTATGTAGAGCAGTAATACTGATCACATTTAAGTATTTCATAAATGGTAACATTTGAATTTATACAAATAAATATAAATTCAAATGTTAATAAATAATAATATACTGGCAACTTGTCTTTTTAAGATCATGCCAATAAAGATTTAAAATTTCGAAAAGTAGTACTTAAGTCAAACTCTCGTAATAAGATAAAATATGTTATATTATAGACTACGAAGGATGCAGTAGTGAGACTTTGCTATAACCTCAAGGGTATCGCGTAGGGCGAGCTCCAATCTCGCTCGAACACTTCCTGCAACTGTCGCCTGATGTCCTGCGTGAAGTTGCCTTCGGTCCTGAGGGTAAGTAAAGATATCGATTGAATTCATGTATGTTGACAGTTTTATCTAACACAGTTATGTTAGACTATGTAACACAGTTTGGGTTAAGATAGACTTCGAGATAAAAAGTACGTCAATAAAGAATATTATATCGCAAAATTAAGCGCAGAGGGCGCTGTTAGAACCAACAGTAAACAAACGCTGTATTGTATTTATTTGTAACAAATGCCGTCGTCATTATGTACTATTGATTAATATTAACTCCGTTACCTATTGTTATCTTATGTGTTCATGCTTTGGCACTTTATCAAAAGTTAGTGCTGTACTCAAGCGCCAAAATATGTAGTAAGTTTTAGACGTAGTACTTATTATTATTCTGTGGTTTTAGTCAAAAGACGCGGACGTCTTTTGATACACTTAGCGGTGGCCTGCTAGACAAATGCTCAAGGATATTCCCAAATACCGGGTGAGCACTACATCCAAGTATATACCTACGTTCTATTTATTGCCTATACAAACTAGCTTATTTCTTTCTATTTACCTGTGCGCCTCGTCGTGTAATAGTTCAATTTGTGTTAGTTTGTTCATGACAAGAAACGGTTATGTTATGGACCATAACTTAAAACTTATTTAAACAAATCGAGTTTTAGAAGTACAGACAAAGCATATGTTACCATAGTAATAAGTTGTTTCAATATTTCACATAAAAGAGTCTAAAATGAAAGAAATATAGACTTTCAAATTACTTTTAAAAACTTTTTCTCTTAATTGTAGTTTTTTGACATTCTTTGTTTTTCTCGTGTGATCTTCTCATTTGTTGCCTAGAAGTGTTAGCCTATTTCTATTATATTTACCTGTGTGCCTCGTCTTGTAACACCAAAGCAACGCCCGCGGTATCTATGAAGTAGTCTCCCGACCAGTTAGAAGTCCCGATGTAGGCCGTGCGGTCCGTCACCATATACTTGTTGTGATTGACCCGAGCGTATGGGATCTTGTCTTGATCAGGCGTGGAGGGCACGCGGAAACGTTTCTGGAGAATTTTAGATACAATAATTTACACACGGCCACACTGTTAACTATCCATTTCCGTTTTTACTCTCGCTCTAATCAAATGGTGATTCTTTGCGATAGAACGAGATGACATGACTGGCAATGGGCAGTTAACACTGTTGCCGATAGTACAATCAAAATTAGTATAGTATGGCGGTTGCAACTCATGAAGGAAATCTACTGACTGAATACGTTAAGATTAATAATTCTTGTTAAAACTACTCCATTCCTGTATAGCCAACCAAGCTAAGTTTTTTAGGTGGTTGTCAATGAAACAATATCACAGAAGATTGAAGTCTTATTTAAAATAGTCTTATTGTATGTGCTCTGTAGCCTAGGATGCGCGCCACGACGTTTAAACTTTTATCGATTTTGCACGATAAGCCCACACATTTTTGTCGTCTAATATCGTCGACGTTGTATCATGACGCACATCCTAGCTCGGCTGATCTGTTCTACATAATGAAGTTCGAGATTGGTACTTAAATTAACAGACTGAAAAATAAAGAATTTGAATTAATCACTAACCCACTACGTTAAACTTTTATCGATTTTGCATGTGCCGGTATGCGACTAACAACAACCTTTGTCTCATTCATACGGTCCCCTACCATGGCACATGCACAATATTGCACAATAAGCCCACACATTTGTCGTCTAAAATCGTCGATAAGATTATCATGACGCACATCCTAGATGGAAGTAATACGAGATAGGGACTTGACAGACTGAAAAATAAAGAATGAATTAATATGACATAACTGACCACTTGTATATCCACGCGAGGGTAGACACGATTCAGTGCTAGCAGCGACTTCAGGAAGAACGCCTCAGAAGGGCGCGAGTGGCGCCACCAGCTGATCAGCATCTTGACCTTTACGTTGTGCTCGAGTGCCGCGCGCCGGATGGCGTCGTCTATCTTCGGCCAGAACCTGCAATGAGGGCTATCGTTTTAGCGCTCACCAGTTGGCGCCACTGTAGAGTAAGGTCCTGTCACTTGCTAGTAGCGAAGACAGTGGCGCCAACTTGTGAGCGCTAAAGTGGTAGGAGGACTATCGCATTTGCACTCATTAAGATGGCGCCACTGTAGAGTAAGGTCCTGTCAATCGCCAGGGGTGCCAACTGTTAAGTATAAAAACGATAGCCCTCATTGGAATGCTTTCATTGACTATGGCGGGAAAGTGAAGCGTTACACTTCATTATTTTAGCCACAGGGCGTGCACTTCTGACAATAGGGTAAAATAATACAATTGAGTAGGTCATCTTCATAGAAACGCACCGAGCGCGGTTTGTATGTGAGCGCGCCGCATACGTATTGACGCGCTCACATACAAACCGCGCTCGGTGCGTTTCTATGAAGATGACCTAGGTACTCATTTGTATTTACTCTGGAATAGGTCTTCCCCGATGATTTCCAGATTAGCCAGTAGTAAAACGGTCACCTTTGACAATTTTGATTAAGACTTTTTTATGTGGGACATGAACCTATAAAAGTCCCGTTGCTCTGTCTCGGATTCTACTAAACTTAGCCCTAAATAACAACTAAGTCGGTAATGTCAATCATAAATAGAGAGGACTAAGATTAAATCATATTGATCGTTGCCGTAGAACTCGTCCTTGAACACTAAAATTAAATGCACAGTGGAAAAGTTGTTTTACCACCACACTTTATCAAACAATTAATAGGTTGGTTTTCAAGTAACGCACCAACGATCAGCGACACTCACGCCCGTATTCACAAACATTACTATGAGGTCTCACAGTGCGCGTGGAAGCACAGAGTGACACACGAACCAATCACAGAGCTCTATTCAACGCTGCGCGTTCGATTTGCTGCTTCACTTAAGCAAGCATCGTTTGTGAATACGGGCGGCAGGAACGTTACCTTTACTTGCTATAAGAACTTACTTAATCTTCGGCGAGAACTCCTGTGCCGCACAGTAGTTTGATTTTAAAAATAGGTGGACATACGATCGAAAATCATAATTTCATCGAAACAAAAATTGTTTTGGATAGCATTTTGAATGCTGATCAACATTTGTTATTATGCATTTTTCGTAAAAACGAGCATTTCATGCTTAAAAAAAATATGACAAAAAAATTTGTATGGAGAAAAATCGTTTTTATTTTTTTTCTGGCCACTGTTGCAAACTGTAGCGGTCAAACCTTATGTAGTCGTAAGTACCTATGGTGCCTAATATTACTACATAAAAATTTTATGCGGGCACGCGCGGCGAAGCGAGTAATGCACATGCAAAATTTTAAATAATATATAAATATTTTTATTTATGGATTATTGATTTTAATGCACTTAAAGTAATTATTAATAGGAAAATAGACTTAGTCTAACTTAGTACAGCCCCCTATTACCTCATTTCATACTAAAACCTTTCAAACTAGAACCTACGTTTTTAGGTACTAGGTAGCCTAAGTCGATTATTGACATTATAATATTCACTACTGGTCTACTGGTTATGGTGTAAGGTGGATTAGGTAGATATGTACCCTTTTACCAAGGTATATACCTACTTCTTGGCACGTATAATACCGACAGACATGATTAAAAAAAGTCTTCAAGCAAGAACCCTTGACTTCAATGAACTTACTTAATCTTCGGCGAGAACTCCTGTGCCGGCGCGTACTCAGAGCTCTATTCAACGCTGTGCGTTCGATTTGCTGCTTCACTTAAGCAAGCATCGTTTGTGAATACGGGCGGCAGGAATGTTACCTTTGCTTGCTATAGGAACTTACTTAATCTTCGGCGAGAACTCTTGCGCCGGCGCGTATTCCATAACAGAGATGTAGATAAACTCTTCCGCCTCCTCCATGATGCCCACGATCGCGTCATCGTCATTAGTACGACCTGTCGGGCTGAAGGGTGGTGGGGAACTCTGGAATTACAGACGCGGGCTTGAAAACTATACTCGGAGTTTCCCTACGTAATCTAATCAGAAATACGGAGATACGCAGGAAAACTGAAGTAAACCAAGGCAGCAGAATTGCTGGCGTCAGAAAAGTTCTCGAGTAGCGACCATTTACCGGAAACGGTTCTACCTTTTTTCGCAGAACTTTTTTAATCATAATTTTACTATGCATAACAACGGATGGCATAATCTTCTTCACGCAGAAATTCGTTAGGCATACACTCATTTGGTATACATTCAAAACTAATAATTTTGTAAGGCAGCTTCATCAACCTTCGTTGGTACATTTGAAGACTGGATCATGCCGATCTTACACTGAGAAAAGGACGTCTTAGGCTGGACTCAATTCACTAAAAAAACACGCAAACCCAAAAGTTGGGTAGGCACTCTAAATGTTAGCCGTATTCCACCATTGGAATACCATTAAATAATGATGCCAAATAATCATGGTGCTAAAGAAACATTATGCTAATCGAAATTATGCCAAATAAAATTCTGCTATCTTAAAAGTATGCCATGGAAAATTCGGGTATATAAACATTCTACCAAACGATGATTATTTTTAACAATGTTTATGCCTTATAAATATTCGGTTAAAGAAGATTATGCCAAGTGAGTTATGCCAAATGAGTTTCTGCGTAACGAGATTCTGCCAGATAGAGGGGAGCCACCGGAAACAACGACTTCACCGTTGAGAATCATCCTCCCACTGGGAGACTAACAAAACAACGCACTTAGCACCTATGTGCGGGCAGCGCAGGATTTTTCGTTGTGGAAATCCTTGGGGAAGCCTTTTGTCACGGTGCTGTGGCTATCGTAAGTTTTCCAGCGTAAGCCTTCACCAAGATGTCGGGAAGCGTGGGACCGACCGCTTGCGACCTGCGATGGACGGATGATCTGATTACGATTGTAGGGAAACAAAGAAGGCAATGCGAATGATGACCTACTATATGCATCGACCATGTAATATAAAGGTTGCATTTGCATTGCTTTGTGTAAATACTCTTAACTCATTAAATATGTATTATCATAACGCTAGGCATCAGCATTGCGTGTTCTACCTGTACTATTACTTATTCTGTGGTTCTACTAACTAAACTTAGGTGTGATTCTGGCACATAGATGAAGTTAATGATGGAACTCATACTCGCTGTGTTCCCCGTCATTTGTTTGCGCAGCGAAGTTCAAAACAGTGAATAATATTGACTGAAAATAGACACCTAAGTTAGTAAAGCATTAGTAAATTAATCGAATTCATGGAATAAAGTGTTATTCATAACATTAGTGTAGTTCGTGTAGGATGGTGGAAATGTTTTACAAACTTGATGAAAACAGTTTATTAATGTAATACAATATGTACCTATGTAAGGTAAAATATTTTCCATTGAACCGTTAATCTTTTCAATACTTTTTTGGATTAATCAAATAATGAAATCATTTATGTACACAATTAACCATATGAATCTGTAGATTCGTTTTCATATAACAAAAATACAGATGCGTTCATGTTCCTAGCGGTAATAAATAATGTATCGCATTCGTAATCGATTCGAGAACAAAATCATTCACTCTATACCGAGCCACCACTTTTCCTTTACATCTATTACAGTACTTATTATTATTCTGTGCTATTTAATTAAAATACATGTTACACTTCGCAGATTACAAGTTCAATAAATGTAAATTGCTGTAGGTGGCAAAGGTCAAACGCTAGCTAGAGACATGCGAGCCATGTATTTCTATGAGAATATCATAAATGGGCGGGCGGGGTTGTGACTTGTGGCCGTGACCCACGAATGTTGGCTGCTACTTGTTTGTTTTTATCACTTACAAGTGACCGGACAGATGCGAGACACATGCAACATTAGGACATGTGACTTGCCAGTCCATTGAGACACGTTTTTTTATCCGAATTTAAAAAGGAGACGGTTCTCAATTGTACTAAATCGATCAGATAATATTATACGTCACATGAATTTAGATAGGTCATGTATGTATGATGAATAAAACGTTTCTTCTATCAATCTACAGGTGCACCAGCACCAGATAAATAATTTAATGTACAATAAGTTTTATTAGACATCTATCAGTATGAAGATCTTAAATAGTGTTGGACCACCAGCGTAAAATTCTATCACAAGCTGATTCATCAAGCTATTCCTTTTTATGGAACCTATTCGACAGGCATTTAAAGGCATGATGAAATGGAAAACTTTAAAAATGGCTCGTAACAGCGGTCACTAGTCAGTACTCTAATAACATGTCCTTCGGCGGGCAATTTGGAAGTTTATGGGCTGTCCGCATGCGCTTGATCGCGATTGCGTTATCACGATATGATCGGCAATACCATAATTTGAAATAAAATGTGGATATATCGCGGCGAAGTGATTTGATGACAATCATTGGTTTTATATTACTCCCGCTTTAATAATGTTCTAGATAGATCGATATTTACCTACTATTATAAAAATTACAAAAGCACGGGATCGTCCAAAACCAAACTAACAAACGTAACTTGAATCAATTACTTAGAATGGTATTATCATGCCACAGTTCAACTTGGATGATGAAGACTACCTATGGAATGATATGAAATAGGATGTATTTTCACTTACAAAATGCTTGAATGAATAATTTTGAAATAAAGTGTTCACTGAAAAACTAAAACCATTTCGTAACTTTCAATCTTTACAAGTCGCAGCAACATGCCCAGTATGCATGTAACGCGATTATAGGGACTCCCTATATGCATTTGCTCCTTTCTGGATAAAACCAGTGTTCATCTATACAGATTACAGATCACACAAAACCACGCTTAAACTATAAACCTGAATTGAGGTGCGATTGTGTAAGGCAATCGTATTAATTTGATCCTTTCCTAAACGAGGTCAAGAGCAAACCGATTGGAAAAATCAACATTACCCCAATAAACATTGGGCATTAACTGATCTACGAGTGGCCTCGACCTGTCCCCAAACAACCAATTTGAACGATAACAATAAATGTTTCCGTTTACTTTCCACTGTAATCTATCAATATTTACGGCCTTGTAGGGTGGAATCGTTTGAGGAATGTTTCTTCAGAGGTTAACATAAAATTGATAATGCATGACATTGTTATTAATATTTTTTCTTTAACTTACTTATTTGAAAAGTTTAATGATCGAGCTCAGTATCTTTAATCTTCGTCTCGATTTGTACTCGCTTGGTCAGAAAAATCAAGGCTGATTAAGTAGTGAACTGAAAAAACAGTAATAATGCTAAATAACAGGCGATACTAAAAAAATACATAAAATACACAAAAAATGCCAACATTTATTTTATCAGGATATACCGCTTAGTTTAAAAGTTATTACGTTTTCTTTACAATAAGTAATTGGAAGAAAAAAAAATCTATAAAAATTTTTAACCTCTTGACCTCTTTTTTGTCGATAAAAATAGGTCTAGTTTCATCTTTTTTCATATGTACACTTTAACGTGACTCACACTGTATAGGTAACTATTGCATGAAAACACAGAATTTAGTAACTAGCAAGTTGCAAGTTAAAATATAGTTGACAACTCTTAAAACTGTTTTCATGCAATTTAATCTTAATAATACTTAACTCCATAATACGTGTAAATTCTCGTCTCAAACATGTGACTTGAATTCAAACAATCACAGTACTGAATGTATGAACATGAAACTAAATACGGGTATCGTGTAATATAAATAATATTCATCCCAACTAATATTATAAATGCGAAAGTAACTCTGTCTGTCTGTCTGTCTGTCTGTCTGTTACGCTTTCCCGCTTAAACCTCGCAACCGATTTTGATGAAATTTGGCATAGAGATAGTTTGAGTCCCGGGAAAGAACATAGGATAGTTTTTATCCCGGTTTTTGAAACAGGGACGCGCGCGATAAAGTTTTTCTGTGACAGACAAAATTCCACGCGGGCGAAGCCGCGGGCGGAAAGCTAGTGTGCCATAAAACCTACACCTACAATTTAGTTTTAATCGCAGTCTGAATCTTTCAGAATACAGAGCTTAGTCTCGGATAGCTCAATTGTAAAGAGCAGTCACCTAGAAAGCAAAACATTGTACATGTTTCTCAACGCAGCCAAGCAAGAAAAACAATTTCCCACCCGCCGATTCTCGCTCGCTAGTTTTCAAGGCAAGCTAGATAGTGTTTGACCGCAGCTAACACGGCTTTTATAAAATTAAGTGAATAAATATTGCATAATTTCAGCCATACCCTGAACCTATTATGACATAATTTTACTGGCAAGTAACTGACGCTATAAGGAATATCTTAAGCCCAGTTTCTAATAAGAGATTGTGCTCATTCTAATCAAGTATGAACTTTTCATTTTAATTCATCCTTGAGAAGAAAATGACCACACTCAACCTGGAACTCAGAAACTTAGGCTACTTTTATTTAAAAAAAAAATTACTAGATCCGAGAAGAAATAATAAACAATTCAAAATCCGTGACAGATCGACCACGCGGTCTAAGCGGACATTATTTTGTTGCGCTTTTGATTGAGTCTATGGTTTTCTAATATGTTTCAAAGTTCGACATGGCGACCCTACTCGTAGGATAACATTTGTCGGCGCGATAAGCCCTCCCAGTCATTAGTCGCACGAGTCAACAATTTAGACGTGGACCTTCAGCCAACCCTATCGTAGCTTTGACCTTTGTCTCTAACTTAATTTCACGTAACTACACGTATTTCGTATAAGAACATCCATTACAGACGGCAATGTGTCCTGCCCACTTAATTTAAAGTGCTTGTTTAAGGTCATGAAAGTAAAGAAACTTGAAATTATCTTTGAATGAATGACTGTAGCAGGTTCTGGAAAGTTTTAAATAAATAAGTCGTAGGAACGAAATTTTCTGTAAAAGTCTACTTAAAGCCTTTGGTGCAAGTTATAGTTAAGTTTGACGCGTGATCGCTTCTAGAGATTGATTATCACATACAGAATAATTATTTCACATTTTCAGGATTGGACCAAAGGTGAAATTATGAAAAACATTTGCTGTTTGATTAAATTTGTTTCTGCAGAATATGACTTTGTATGAAATAGACAAAAGAGTAAATACAGAGTTCCCTCAACTCGTGGGTGGTTAATTCATCGTTAGCGGTTATTTTCCAAAACATTTTCATATCAAATTAACTGAAATCCTGACTATACAAGGGTGCTTTTACTTAATCTTTTATACCATTTGTTGACATCGCCATTTATTATGTCACAATAGGATTCAGGTGTAACAGCTAACTGGCTGGGGGACCTTTTGTCCCCCGGCTGAGTCAGCGTTATGCCAAGGCTACCGGGCTTATAAAAGCATTAGTTAGAAAGGCTAGGGTAACGGGCGTTTTACTATTACGATTTCAAACACAGAAACTTAGGGCTGTCTAAGTAATTGTCACTTCTCAAGGGTCTTGAGTAGTATACTTCGTAAACAGATTTGATATTGAGCTTTGCTGGACATTCAACTCATGGTCTGAAAATGTAGCAAGATAAAGTACCTAGCAGTGGGCTGGCCATATCTGTCGAATAACCGATAAAATGTGCAAAGGTAAACGATTTATTGAATTAAAACTACATCCTGGAAAATGTAGGATACACCTCGGTCGTTGGACCAGAAACTCCGAGAAGATAGTACCTATTGGTTGGCGACAGGATAGAATCGTGCTTTGCGGTGCTCCCTGAAGAAGGCTTGGATCCAACAGCAGACTGTCATTTGACTCTTTATTTGGCTTTTTTCGCATTCTTTAGTTCTTCTGGGATGCTGACTTGGGTTAAAGAGCTGACATCAAAGTTAATTGGTTAATGATATGAACTACTCAGTGAATTCCTATTCAAATTCAAATTGAAAACGTTTATTTGCCAAAAACACTATGAATATTGTTGATTGATGTGTTACCCACAACATACACTAGCCTATCTCTGACCTTTACCAACCCTAACCGTACACGTTCCGGTTTTAACGGCCACTAAACTATTACGGTTTAACGCTCCGCGGGATGCTTCGTTTTACAATCGGTTTAGAACGCGATGGCTGCGCTAACGGTAATGGCTGGATGGCTGTAATTAGTTGGATAAGCGCAGACCTGGGTGGATAATGTGGGTAATTGGATAGTCAGCGATGTTAGCTTTAATTTGCTGAATAATTATCAAAACGTAAAATAAACAATAATAATTATGTATTTCGTTCGTTCGTTTGAGGCAAATGACGTCCATTGCTGGACAAAGGCTTCCCCAAGGATTTAGGACCGGTATTGCGCTGCCCGCATCCAGGTTCTTCCAGCGACCTTTACCAGATCGTCGGTCCACTTAGCGGGGGGCCTGCCCACGCTACGTCTTCTAGCCCGTGGGCGCCACTCGAGAACTTTTTTGCCCAAACGGTCATCAGCTCTACGATTATGTATTTAACTAGTCATAAATAATTTAAAAGGGGTGAAAAGTATGAAAAATAATTTCTGAAGTTAGGAACGTAAAGATCCTGTTTGTTTGCGGTGAAATGTGAGTAGTTAAATAGTTTAGATTTTACGACCGTGTTTTTATTCGCGGGACGCGCGATAAATTCTTTATAACAGCTTGAAAAATATGTATGCGGTAGAAACCGCAATCCAGGGGCGTGTATTTACTAATAATTTATTTTAAAGAAAAGTTAAAGTATTAATATAATGAAGATAACACGAAGGAACATAATAACTCAATAGTTAGATATGTAAAACAAGTCTGACCTTTACGGAATTCGAAATAAAGATACTTTAGTTAAAGAGTAATGGATTCAGCTATCTTCATCCATACATTTTTAGATTAGCCACTGAAACCTAATGGGGTCTTTTTTCGTATTTGGAAATATATTAAAACTAGCTTTCCGCCCGCGGCTTCGCCCGCGTCGAATTTTGTCTGACACAGAAAATCTTTACCGCGCGGGTCCCTGTTTCAAAAACCGGGATAAAAACTATCCTATGTCCTTTCCCGGGATTCAATCTCTATGACAAATTATATCAAAATTGCTTCAGTGGTTTAGGGCCGATTTTTCAATCGTCGGATAACTTTTAACTGAAGAATAAGTTTGTCACATTGACAGTTTCAGTATGGGCAATGTGTCAAAATGACAAGTTTATTCTTCAGTTAAAAGTTATCCGACGATTGAAAAATTAGCCCTTAGGCGTAAAAGCAAGACAGACAGACAGAGTTACTTTCGCATTTAGAATATTACGAGTAGTATAGATAGTATAATAGACGTGTAATAAAGAAATATTTACGTGGCAAGTTTCTTTATTCGAAATGTTAACTTCTTTACCTAAAGATTAACGGATAAGGAGTATTGTGTACTGGTGAACACACATTGGGGCAGAAAAGTGAACAATCAGATAAATCTAATAATACAGCCCACGAGGAAATTGGGTCAGTGTTGGGTCATGGTCTACCGCTGGTATTTAGGGAACCTATACACGGTGGTTTACAAGTCTTTTATTGATCAATTAGACAGGCAACAGCATAGTAGGTACTTTGGATAGTGGCCGACCAACAAGACGAATGTTTTTTCGTCGATTCCTGCTGAAGGTAAGTAAAAGTCGTGTGTGACACTAGGCTTTTTTCGTTTGAAAATATCTGTTACGAGAATGCACCGCCTAAAGTAGCCAAGTAATATGCGGTGCCTTATGCCCGTTTTCACCATCAATCCCTAATTTTTAAGTGACCCATATAGTAACATTTAACTGGCATTTTGTTTTCATAGGGGTCACTTAAAAGTTAGGGATTGATTGTGAAAACGGGCATTATTCTGGCAAATCTCAGATTCGGATCAAATGCAGGGCGTACTATTTTTTCTTCTAGCAACTTTATCCGTGCCGTGACCAACTTTTGCCTATGGCTTTGTTCGTGTTAATTTTAGATTCCTGTTTCATCCCCTTACGGGGTGAATTTTGTGAACTCATAATAACTACGTGCAACGTTCAATAACTCATGATTGCGATGTGTTAGGCCCGGCGGCCACCACTATGGCGGAGCATAGCGGAGAAGTGTTTGAATAACCAATCAGATTTCATTATTTCCACATCTAAAAAAAAAAAGGTTTGTTTCCCTAATATAAATAAAGAAATTAATAAATAAAATCTCTCCTCTCCGCTCCGCCTTGGTGAAAACCGGGCCTTACGCGGCCGGTAAAATAACATTAAAGTTCTGTAGTTATACTTACCGTAATGAACGCGCCGAACGAGTCGTTCATGTTGATGGGGTGTTCCATATTGATATCTGTGGCCAGCTCCTCCGGCCACTCGTCGGGCACCACTGCGTCCGGCGCTCCTAACGTCCAGTACACCTAGAAAAACAAATCTATATCTATAAANTAGAGTATTTTTTGATAAGTTAACTGACGGACTAATTAAAACTCTTGCTGACCCAGGCAACATCCCCATTATGTATTTCGTTCATTCGTTTGAGGCAAATGACGTCCACTGTCTGGATAAAGGCCTTCCCCAAGGATTTTAATAGCGACCGATCCTGCGCTGCCCGCATCCAGGTTCTTCCAGCGACCTTTACCAGATCGTCGGTCCACTTAGCGGGGGGCCTGCCCACGCTACGTCTTCTAGCCCGTGGGCTCCACTCGAGAACTTTTCTGCCCCAACGGTCATCAGCTCTACGATTATGTATTTATACCTAGTCATAAATAATTAAAAAGTGGTGAAAAGTATGAAAAATCATTTCTGAAGTTAGGAACGTAAAGATCCTGTTTGTTTGCGGTGAAATGTGAGTAGGTAAATAGTTCAGATTTTACGACCGTGTTTTTATTCGCGGGACGCGCGATAAACTCCTTATAACAGCTTGAAAAATATGTATGCGGTAGAAACCGCAATCCAGGGGCGTGTATTTACTATTAATTTATTTTAAAGAAAGGTTCAAGTATTAACATAATGAAGATAACACGATGGAACATAATTACTCAATCGTTAGATAGGTAAAACGAGTCTGTACCTCTAGCATGAACAACTTTCGTCTTCGAATCGTTTGCGTACTCGATAAAATTTGATAATCAATCTTCGAATTAAACGATATCGTGACAATTTTGATTCTCAAAATAAGTTTCGTGCAACCACATCTCATACTAAGTTCACTTTACGACACGTTCACAAGGGCGCTGTTGTAGTTTTCTTACTAAATCTTTTGATGGCGATTCGAGTACGCAAACGATTTGAACTCGAAAGTTTTTCGTGCTAGCCGTACTGACCTTTACGGAATTCGAAATAAAGATACTTTAGTTAAAGAGTAATCGATTCAGCTATCTTCATCCATACATTTTTAGATTAGCGACTAAAACCTAATGGGGTATTTTTTCTTATTTGGAAAAATAAATGTTCTACATATTAAAAACATCTAAGAAACAACATTTTACGTGGCAAGTTTCTTTCTTTATACGAAATGTTAACGTCTTTACCTAAAGATTAACGGATAAGGAGTATTGTGTACTCGAAAACACACAATGGGGCAGAAAAGTGAACAATCAGATAAATCTAATAAAGCAGCCCACGAGGAAATTGGGTCAGTGTTGGGTCATGGTCCACCGCTGGTATTTAGGGAACCTATACACGGTGGTTTACAAGTCTTTTATTGATCAATTAGACAGGCAACAGCATAGTAGGTACGTTGGATAGTTGCCGACCAACAAGACAATGTTTTTTCGTCGATTCATGCTGAAGGTAAGTAAAAGTCGTGTGTGACACTAGGCTTTTTTCGTTTGGAAATATCTGTTACGAGAATGCACCCTCTAAAGTAGCCAAGTAATATGCGGTGCCTTATTCTGGCAAATCTCAGATTCGGATCAAATGCAGGGCGTACTCATTTTTCATCTAGCAACTTTATCCGTGACTAACTTTTGCCTACAGCTTCGTTCGTGTTTAATTTTAGGCCCTTGTTTTTAGGTAGGTAGGTAAATTTTAGACTTTTCAGGTTTAGGTGCCTTTATGGGGTGAATTTTGTAGCCTATCTACGTGCCTAAGTTCAGCGCAATCCGTACAGTGGTTTGAGCAGTTTGAGCTGCGTGTTATGTGTTGATATCTCAGTTAAAAATTATACTTTAGAGCATTGGTTCCCAAACTTATTTGAGCATACAAAAAATTCCGCGCCCCCCTCCTCCAGTCAAGATTATTTATTGGTCGTATCGAGCAGTCTGGAATGCATTCTCTCAGCGGTCGCAGGTTTTTTTTTATACTTAAGTACATAGATGGCCCGCGCCCCCCACTTTGGTAACCAATGCTTTAGTGTGTTTGACAAGAAAAAATATAATAACGAGTAGTTAAGCGGCCGAAAGTTCTGCAGGAATTAACTGTTACTAAAGCCTGGTCCGTGAGCACGTATCGTATTTGCGAATTTCTCGCACACTCACTGCGGGCGCCCGTCGCACCGTCGCGACAGCAATATAATTACACGCGAGCGATAAGGATGGGTAGCTTGGGGTCATTGGACAAAATTCTACGTGCTCACGGACCAGGCTTTACACTTACCGTGATGAACGCGCCGAACGAGTCGCTCATGTTGATGGGGTGTTCCATATTGATATCTGTGGCTAGCTCCTCCGGCCACTCGTCGGGCACCACTGCGTCCGGCGCTCCTAACGTCCAGTACACCTAGAAAAACAAATCTATAAAAGCGAAAGGTCACTGATTGTTCAATGTTAAGCACGAAGAGTCTGCACTATGCCCATGCGGCGAGGGAACAACTATTCCCACCTCTCGTTCCCACCACTGCAACTCCTGTGTAGCCAGGATCTACATCTTGACCGCCACAAAAACCCAACCAATGAAGGTCAAGTTTGTCCTGGGGGAAAGTTAAACTGTCATTGGACCCGCAACGAAATTAGAAGAACATAGGAGGAGTTCGAAATTAAGGTTCGACTTCCCTCCATTGCAAAGCGGATGACAGGTGACAAACAAAGGTTTAAAACCTTTAAGAAAAGATTATGCACCACGGACAATAAATTAAATTAAGGGGGCCTATCTTATGAGCAATTGGCAACTACCTGCCAATAATATTTTTCACAAAATCGCTTAAAAGCACGGAAATTTTTCCTTGTCGCGACAAGATCGGTGTAATAAATTGCGGAAACAGATGTATGTTGTATTGAATTAAGCATTATATCACGTTCATGTTTCCAAAGATCACACTCCCACAAGATATGATGGGCAGACTGCTCATGACTGACATCATCAGTGGAACACTCGCAAAAAGGAGACGGAACTAGTTTGAATTCGTGAAGTTTATGTTTAAAGTTGCCATGTCCCGTGAGGAACTGCGACGAGCAATGATCGATTTCTAACAATCGCCTATTTAGACGTTCGCGTACATTCGGGAAGAATTTATATAAGTGACGTCCTTTGACTGACGTATCCCATCTTTTNATCAGAGAAATTTGTAGGGAGTCAAGCAAAGAGAGCCCAGAGCAAGTACCGGCGCGCTCTCCCGAGATTCGGTTCGTACGCCGTGAGGCAGGAAGAACCATGGGTGGTGGTGGGTTATGTTCAATGTTAAGCTTCATATATTATGTTCATATATTGAGTTACCGATAGATGGCGCTGTCTGTAGGTGAATCGCGGTATGTAAGTTTTAGACGGCCCCTACATAATTATACTCAAATTTGGTTTGGAATAACTGGAATCTTGGTTTTATTCAAGTTACAACCTATGGGCTTTTTGGGACTTGTACATGGTCCTTCGGTATTGCCGGTTAAGGGCGATATTTTGAAGTAGTCCTAGTGCACTGTCCATTGCGGCGTCGAAGAGGTTGCGGATTGTTGCCTATGATGCTTGGCGGTTGTTGGAGCAGCACAAGGTGGCTGCGAGCTGTTTTGGCGTACTACGTCAGAGTCGAGGAGGGAACCTCCTCTGACGTCACCACTCGGACCTCATCGTCGGCTGCAGGGGGGACCCCCGCGGACATTGACTGACTCACTCATCACGAAATCTCAGAAACTACAAGTGCTAGGAGTCTCAAATTTTGCATGGGGGTTTCTTTTGGAACGTAGGTGCTCACTAAGACGGGATTTTGCAAAATTCAATCCCTAAAGGAGTAAAACGGGATCCACGCGTACGAAGTCGCGGGCGGCCGCTNTTCTCGTATTACTTCAGCGTTAGTTCATTGTTAGGCCTCAGCCTCGAACTTAGCGGGCAGCGGGGCGGCGGCGGCGGCGGCGCGAGAGCGGGGCGGGCAACGCAGACCCGTTCTCGAAACCAGCGGGCAGCTCGCGCGGCGCTTTAGCGGCGAATTGTTGTGTTCGGGGTTGTGTTGTCGAGATATTTGTTTTTATTCGCGAAAAAAATTTTATTTCGATTCAAATTTATTCCTTACGCTCGATTTATTGTGGGCAAAAGAAGGAGTGCGCTGCCCGCTCGTTGCCCGCTCCCTCGCCGCTGCCCGCTCGTTGCCCGCTGCCGCGCCGCTGTTTTCGAGAACCGGTCTATTTGATTTTACGCATAAGATCCTGCCGCTCCCGCCCGCTCCCGAGGCTGAGGCCTTATTGTCGCAAGTTATTATGACAGTTTATCAAGGGTGACTTTTTCCAGTTTCTTATAAAGTTTCAGTTTTGAAACGCTATTATCTAACAAAGGGCAAGTCCCGAGTTGATATGAGGGCACTAAAAATTCTACTTTCTTCACCCAGATGAACAAATTGGAATAATCCTAAAAACGAACGTATGAAATTCATTAAATTTAATGTAAACGTCGGTTACAATAACAATTCTGACGTTTAACGTAAGTAAGTAGTTTTTGAAGGCATAGGGTGAAGTTCCAATTACTTACATGAAGAAACACGTAAGGAAAAATAAATATAACATACATAAATATTTTATTATTTTGTTACAAACTGTAGACTCTCGTAACTTAAACGTGAAACTTCAAAGGGAAAGAGAGTATGTAATAAAATTTCATCGTGTTATCTTTGGGCGAAGTTCAAACATTTACGAAGTTAAGTAAAAAAGCGATCGTTACTTGCCAAGCGAACACGTACGCTGCGTGTAATTACGTGTTACACTGTGTGCAGAGCAAAAGGCACAAGAGAGGCAGGGTGCAGTAGGTTTTGCGACACGGCGAGGTCTTTTAGAAGACTGATAAAAAACATACTTACAATATGGACTGTTAATAGAATAGAATAGAATAGAATATTGTTCATTTGGCACAATACACAATACATGATATAGGCACAATACAAGATTAAAACATAGAAAAAACAAAAAATGATGTTGATTAATGTGTATTTTATTTCAATGATTAGCTTGAATTTTTTTTAAATAAAAGTAATACCCATGTATCAGACCCATATTGGACCCGATAACCCCCTAATAAACGCTTGTGTTATGAGTGGGTTCACCACAATGTGCCACAATAGTCCAGCAGCAGCGAGGTTCGAACCATCATTTCGGCTATTGTCATTTTTGAAATTGTCTTTGGTGGACGATTCGAATGCCATCGGCAGATAATGGACAGCTTAGTTTGCTAAGTGCTTTAATTTAATTTCTGTTACAAAATTCCACTACTACAACATCATGGCACATTCTTTCGCTTATTTTTTTTTTTTTATGCTAGCCAAGGCAGGTATTTGACCGCAATCGCACCTGGTGTTAAGTTACTTTATTTTATTTTACTGTCTCGTGGACATACAAATTACGACAAAGGCAGCAACTCCACCCGCTATCATTATAAAACGCGTTTAACGTAACACGCTCACGTCAAAGGTGAAACTATTTAAATTAACGTTCAACTTGGAAAGTGGCGTAAACTTTCCTTAGCCTAACTTTACAAAGCGAGTGGCACCGACTGGTACGCTCGATGCGTTCCGTCATGTAACTTTGTGCAGACATTGATTGAGTTAAAGTTACGGCAACTTTTTGTAAAGTTGCGCCACCATTTTAGGTTAAAAATGCTTTGAGATACATTCATATAACATCAAGGGTCAATACAAGTAACATGTAGAAAAATCGCTAAATGTTGCAAATCTAGAGAACTATTTAAGTTTTTTTATGATTCTCGAATCTCGGAGAGCAAAAATCCATGCGATCAAATCTGCGAGCAGATGCTAAGTATTATTTATCTGTGATTATGTATTTGATAAAATCTATACACAATTACACATACCCTACGCTTGTAAGATTATTGAAGCGCGAAATGTAGCGCGTGTGTAAGGTAAAATGCTAAAACGAGCGTAAAACACGCTCAAGAAACGCAAAATTGAAAGGGTCCTAAGATTTTTTTGTAAAGGTTTGATTGATGAAACTTTGATATAATATTGTGTAAGTATGTGAATGCTTACAAGATGGATTAAACTTTTTAATTCAATAAAACACAGTTACTAATTAATAAAGTTCTCACGTTCAGTACCGGTAGGTACAGCAATAATATTCTATGTAAACAACGAATATGAAATTCATATTTCATGCAGCGTCGATTATTATTGTATTATAGTGCACCTAAAAATAGATCGTGTGACGTTTGAACAAGGACTGTCCTCGATGTTGGCAATGAGACTTCTAACCGTCAAATTGGAGGGTTAACTACACGTATAATAACAGAGCGTTCACCGTTTTCAATGCAATTAATACGAATCGATTAAAAAGACATTTTACTTACATCGAATATCTTTCCCAAGTCTGTGGCAAGACAGGAACAGTTGTAGGCGACTATACCCAACTCTTTTACCTGCGAAATAAAAAAAAATGAAAAAATTTATGCTCACCACACCCACTTTTGCCCTCAGAAGAATTCGAACCCGCAACGGCAACGTATGAGCCAAGCGGCCGTCGATAGTAGTGAAAGTTACGATAAAAGATTGATAAAAACTTCACAAGTACTTACTTGGGTCAAAGACCGCCAGTCCATGTTGGCACTTCCAATGTAAAAGTGTGTTCTATCTACTATCCAAAACTTTGTGTGGAGAACACCACTGCCCAGGAGCTTGGAAAAATTTAAACTCCTGACCTGTGCAAAGTAATTGTTAGTTAGTCATTTCACCAAGAATATAAGTAGATATTTAACTATCTACCTAATAATTATTAGAAATTGGAAAGAAATTGTTTAGTGTCTTGCTTCGTTGGTTACGTTTTGAAAAATAAAACGTTTAAGGCTGAGTTGCACCACCTAACTTTAACGGTAACTATGACGATAACCGGTGCTTTTTGTATGGCGTTTGACAGATTTTTGACGTTTGGCAAAGCTAAAGTAAGATGGTGCAACCCAGCCTAAAAGTGTTGGAAATCAAAGTAAGATCAGATCTCGAAAAAGCTCATAGACTAATAAACAGTAAATAAATACAATAACCACCTGTGCAGCTTTTTTCTTAACTAAATATTCAGTATCTACATTAGGATATAACTTAGTGGGCCAATTTTGAGCAATTTTTAAATTAATTTTTCGTTTTGACCCGGCAGTGTATAAAGCTTGGAACACTTGCTCTCCCTGAAAAAGAATAACACTTTAAAAAATGTGTTAAAAATAACAAAAAAAAACATTAAAATTATAATAGCTGCTCTATCCATCTCTCTCACCTCTCATGGCCAGAAAGCCTAGAAATGCAAATATTTGTTTATAAACAATGTATTTAAAAACCTAGAGAGAGATGTATAAAACATTTCCTGTATTCAAAAGCATTGTTTGACTTACCTCTATTGAGGAGTTATATGGATACATCTCATTAAACCTAAGGGTCCAGTAAAAGGATGCTATTTCTATGGATGTTTGAGCTTCGTCTATGAGATTTAGCCACGCGTTTTTAGTGGGAAGATGTGTTACGTTTGGAGGATACATGTGACCCTCCGGTATACTCTCTACTAAAGAAAACCTGAAAAAAGATAGGTAGTCTGAGTAAAGTCATTAAGGCTGAGTTGCACCACCTAACTATAACGGTAACTATGACGATAACCGGTGCATTTTGTATGGAGTTTGACAGACTTTTTATATTTGGCAAAGTTAAAGTAAGATGGTGCAACCCAGCCTAAAAGTTGTGTAGTAAGCTACAGTTGGCTTTATTAATTTTGTTACAAAAACTTTTGTCAATGCAAAAAACAATTGAGTCCTATTTCTAAACAGTGTCAACAATTAACAAAATGCAATCTAATTAGATATGTATCACCTATCACATCAATCAAGCAATGGGTGACATGACATCATTTGCAATCCAATAGTGCTCTTATTAGGTATCTCTAGGCCAACATAATATTTGCAATTCATCATAATCATCTAGCATAGAATTTCAGTAGATGCTAATACTGCTTTATTAAAATAGCAAAGGTGTGACTTTATATTACAGACAATAGAAATACATTGAGTATCATAATTTTACTGAACTAACAAAAAACATGCTTGCATGCATATTATATTTCAGATCAAAATATTATCTTCAGTCAATAGCCAGAATTTGAAACTGTTATAAAATATTTGCACCACTTTGTCAATTTGCCATATGTTTGTCTCGAAGCGCTGGTAGGGCCCAAAAGATAAGGAGACATGTAAAGTGCATAATAAGGCCATAAGGGCTACCTTTTCTTTTTTTATTATTTTCTATAATAATATTTTAACGTTCATAAGTTGTTCACTTGTGGTCTAAACTGAATAAATATTTTTAATTACTAATTTTTTTTTGTTGTGGTACTTCTTATTATTATTGGTTTTTTGGGCCTTTATTTGCGCCATCTCGACCAGGTTTGATCTATTGTGGTACTTCTTGCCTATAATATTATGTGATATTGATTTCTAATTTACATAAACACAAGTGCCATCATCATAGGATGTCCACAGCTGAACAAAAGATTCAAAGATTTATTCACCGAGACTCTGTGATACATTAAAATGTGTTTTCCAGATTGTCCAGTTGTAAGCAACCTGCTTTCTGAAACTTTTATGGTCACCTATCAACCTTGTTCTTAAGTGCCAGCTTAACAACAAACAAAAGGAATCTGAATGTGTCTTACCTACACTCATCTGAGCAATGCATATCAACGGGTGCACTGGGGACAGCGGTCTGCGCTGTGTGGGGCTGGTCCAGCAGCGGCACCAGTACCACCAGTACGATGAGAACTATCACTATAGATACGGGAATGCACGATGGCCTGCACCATATGCTTTTCTTCTTCCTCCTAAAATAGTTTAGTCAATTAGCATTATAACGTAACATACACAGAAATGACATGAGTAAAACCTTCTGTGTTTACGGTTCTAGAAATATTATTAATTTGAAAATAAAAAATGTTAACTCTGTTAGAAGTTTTTGGAACTTGTTAACTTTTTTGTAAAGAGAATATTTTCTTACTTGTCGTTATAGCTGTTCCCGTTTTCATCTCTCATCATAAATATTTGTTCCCACTGCTCCAACTCCTCATCAGACGACGATGCGTTCCCCACACTCCCAGTCTCGAGCACAGTCTACAAAGAAATGAAAGAAATAAGCAGTTTTAAAAACTTTGAACGATATCATTTAAGGTTATGGCGCCAACCTATTAAAACAATTTTCCAAGTATTAAAACATCATAACATTAATCAAATTGTTAACTAACATCACATGTATGTAATTTAACTGTTAAACAATCGCATGAAGCAGCAAAGATCACTTTTATTTGATAAATTATGAAACACAAAGATCCGATTCATAACACATAATAATCAAAACAATACTGACTTTCAAAGTATTTTTTATGCGTGCGGTAATGCACTCTGGCAATAACTTCATTTTGAGCGTTTAATTAAATAACAAAAAACAGTCACAAAATAATACGTGAACAAAGAAAATTAATTCCTTCTTTTATTTTTCTCAGCCAGCCCCGCAGTGATAACGATCTGTCAAATTGGCCTGTATGAATGAATGACACACACACGTCAATTTTTTGACAATTAATTTAGTGATGTGTTGAATGAATATATTTATCAATCGATTACAAATTAGAAACAAACACATTCTTATTGTAAAGTGTACGAACACAGAATCAATAAAAGATGCCATTATTTTTTATTATAATAAAAAATACCCATAGAAAAGAAATCACAAAAGGCAAGAAAATATCACGAGTACGAACCATTTTAAAGTTTGGTTTCACTTTCACTAGGTAACTAAAGAATGCAAAGTCAAAATATATAAATCACTAAACAAACTATTCATAACGCAAGCACGATAACCACATGTATAAAACTGCATTTTCGTATATCCTGTTATTCCTTTACAAGCCGTGCAGGCGCATTAGTAGCAAAAATATAACTGCAAAGTAGATGACGTCGGCAACCACCGCATTGTACATGTGCATTTTAAATACTAGGTTAGTACAGACCGATAAACTATGCAGGGCACAACTTTTCGAGCAAGTAATATTGCTGTAGTGCTATTTATTTTCGTTTCGTTGCCATTGAATTGACTAGGTATCAAAGAGTGATTTAATACATAGTAAACATGCGTCATTTTTAACGTATAGCTTGACATAAAATGCTGTTGCTTTAAATTCAATAAGGACATCATCCATTTTGGTCCAAAATCAAAAGTGCCGGCCAAAAAATAAAAGTGCTGTATTCTGATAGAATACGTCCGCCTTAGCATTTATTACTATGGCACCAAAGCTGTAGCACCACTGTGCATCGTAGTATTTGAGTTCTAAAAATATATGAAACGACTGACTTTGATCTCAAATACTACGACGCACAGTGGTGCTACAGCTTTGGTGTCATAGTAACAAATGCTAAGGCGGACGTATTCTGTCAGAATACGGCACTTTTTTATTTTATTGGCCGACACTTTTGATTTTGAACAAAAAATGTATGAATAGTCGATGACTTTTAGATCTCAAATACTCGACGCACAGTGGAGCTACGGCTTTGGTGCCATAGTAACAAATGCTAAGGCAGACGTATTCTGTTAAAATACAGCACTTTTTTTTGTTGGCCGGCACTTTTGATTTTGGACCAAAAATATATGAAACGTGGATGATGTCCTTTATGTAACTTACTTTATAATTTATGTAATTCACGTTTATTTTAAAAGTTTAAAATAAATTAAGTGACCAAGATCTTGAATTGCTTACTGCAAGGTTTAAAAAGATAAAACTACTTTACAATAGTCTAATTTCTTCAACATTAATTTCTTCCTTAGAAATATTTATTATATTAAACAATGTAATTATGATTAACTTGTATACATACGTTGTTAAAATCTTCAAGATTATCACTTGTGTCACCCTAATATCATATGACTTGCTTTCCCGCGTGACGTGATACAAGCTTCGCGGTCGCGTGTTTCACTACTATTAGGCACCATGTATTTTATTTACAATATCTACACTTTTATTTTTACCAAAATTACAAAGCATGACAGCAAATTTTATACAGCGTGGTCGTGTGAACTCCACTGGCGACAATTTAACACTGTGTCAAATAACTTTGATTACAATATAGCTAAAAAGACTCAAGAGCGCACGCAACTTTTGCCATATTATGGTAACTATGAATAAAAAATGTGTGTTGTAATATTAGTAATTAAACGAACTAAAATAGGTATTCTTCTTCTTTGCCACAAAACATATCAACAAGTCGGTATCGATTAAAGAATCGTTATTTTATGCAAAGACTTCACTAGTAATTTTGGGGGAAATAGTTTATTGGCGCGAAATTTTTAAAACTTTTACGAATCCCCAGATTCAAGATGTTTATTTTTGATTGTTGTGTTCACTACTAATAAATTATGAAGATGTAGTTTGTAGGTCTACAAAGATCATAGGTAATGTCATTTGTTACATACTTAGATTATTTATTAATTAACGTTTTCGTAGTGTGCTTGTAAATAGGTAAATCCTAATTGTTAGCTACGTACTGAGGGTGTGTGTTCCGAAATAGTACTGCGAACAAAACTTACGGCAGTGATTTCGTAGAACATAAATTATTTTATTATACAAATAAATAAATATTTTTATATCCAGCACTTTTAAATCACAATAAAATACAGATACGCTTTGAACTGGGTTTAAAACCTCCACGGCTCCTGGTACCTTCGGTCTCCGTAACAATACTGAACAAGTAAATTGCGAATTTACTCAGTATCATGACGAATTGAGGAATATTCAAATTGTGGTAAATATTGCGTGCGAGAAATAGTACGATAACAAGTAGGTACGAATAGTTATTTACTTTCAGAGTCAAAGCAAAGCAACCATGTCGCTTTGATCGATAACTTTGGGTTTTTTAATGAATGAACCAGGTAATTAACTACCCGTATACATTATATGAAAATATGATTTTGTCTAGTTACTACGAAATAATTTAATTTAAGACTAATTAACTCCCTAATAGAAGAAAATTTCTAATCATTGCTTATTTTAGAAGTAGCAATCTACCAAACAATTTCAAAATAATTACCTATTACCCCTAGGTAATAGGTAATCCTACTAGGTGGACCGAGGATCTGGTAAAGGTCGCGGAAAGAGCCTGGATGCGGGCAGCGCAGGACCGTTCATTGTGGAAAACCTTGGGGGAGGCCTTTGTCCAGCAGTGGACGTCATTTGGCTGAAACGAACGAACGAATAGTAATATCTAAAATACATATTTGAAAATTTGAGATGCAGAATCAGCTAATCATAAAAAGGTTAAAAAGGGCACTTTAAACTGCAGCCAAGGTAGAGTGCTATTTCTAAGAAAATTTCATGACTAACCTTGTTACTTGGCAATACAATTCTTAAAACAGTGGATTGCTTTCAAGTAATTACAGAAAATGCCAAGGTATCGCAGTAATCAACTAAAGGGGCTTCTAACAACTGTAAGTATGCCATTTTTCTACGAAAAGTTTGTGAAGTCGCCTTGTGAACCCTATCGATGCTTTTTAAAACGCCAACAAGCATCTCAGATTATACCTACTCATTGATTCTCGAAAAGAGATATTTAGCTTAATAATTATTTCTAAACTACACACACCGGCAGATTTAGAGGAACGGAAAAAAAAGCATCAATATCATCATTATTTTAGGAAAAAAATGCCTAATTATGACATTATTTTTTAATTTAATTCTAAATATGAAAAAAATAATTGCCAACAGTATATTTTTTTAATTATTTTGTTTAAATTACCCCATCAACAGTTTCGTTGAGTGTTTTGAATTGAATGAAGCTTTTGCTAATTTGGATTTCTTTTACGTGAAAGATGTTTTTTTCTGAGAATTTTGTTGTGTAAGCATTCAGTTACTTATAAGGGTTTATTATGCCCAGCTTAGCACCGTCAGAAATCATTAAGGCAGATGAAATGAGAAGTAACGGCCATGCATACAAATCGGCTGCCGTAAGACGTCGTTGATCAGTATCGACCACCCATGGCAGTAACCAACGGTACAGATTGATCATTTCTGTCGTTAGGAGGAGGGTTCAAGTCAGAAAAAGGCGTACTTCGCGACGGGATGACCGTTTTTTACACGAGATGAAAATGGTCAAATGTCATTTGCACGACCCCTTTGCAGGAGGCGTCGTCCAAACTTTTGACCGGAAGTCGTTATTTCTACTTTCGACATTTTTGGACCAAATCGCCCAAAGTGTGGCAACACTGGAGAAATTTCTTCACCCAAGCAAAACCTCTTGACAAGACACACAACCGCCTCATACAACTCGACTTTCCAAAGTGTTGCCAACTACTCGAAAAATGAATTCCAAATTTTCGAAATTTTCAACTTTTTACAAAATGGCCGCCCACGCCGCCGCCATCTTGATTTTCTGACATTTCGGATTTTTCCCATAATCTGGGTCGTATATGCGGCCAAACGTCATTTTTATTTTTTTTCTGCCATAATTCTTTCTGTCTGTCACTAACTTTAAAGTCACCCATGTCGCAAAAAAAACTTTTCCCCATAACTTTCAGTGTTGCCAGACTTTTTTGATAAAAATGGTGAAATGTCATTTGGGTCTCCAAACGTCACCAAACTGCATACCAAGTTTATGGAATTTTTGGAAATTTCCATTTTCTACTATCCGGGGCCGTGGTGGAAAATTTTCTTCCAAAATGGTAGTTTTTTCCTATTCATGGCAACACTCGAGGAACAGACCAACAATCGCCCGGAACATTGTACCCCACTCCGGTGTCGCTATCTACCGGAAAATTGCTGTCAAAGTTTAGAAATTTTTTGATCGCAACAAAATGGCCGACGGCTCAGCCGCCATCTTGTTTTTTGATAATCTGTAAATGTGGCCTTAAAGCAGACTATACAAGTCACAAAAACCAAAAGAAATTTTCAAAAACAATAGCGCATCTCGGAGTGACACCTCCCTAAAAACACCCCGAAATCGCATTTTCAATCCAAGATGGCGGCGCGGCCATTTTGTTTTTCCATTTTTTTCTCACATTAAAATACACCTTTTGGCAACCCCAATCAACACCCAGAAAAGAAAAAATTCAGGACCAGAGACAAAAA